GAAGAACCGCTCGACCGATTTTGTGCAAGCTTCACATAAACCATCTACTAAATAGTCCGAACAAAGCCTAAACATTTGGTTTGGCTAGGTGAGCCCGTTCTTGAGTTATAAAATTACAACGAAAAGTGGCATTAATTTTTATATATAGGTATATAGATAGATAAATCATCCATCGTGTTTTTGAAAGAGCATGCCGATTTAGTTTTAATGCGGTCTGATAAGGACAATTCAACAGTGCTAATGACAAAACACGAATAGGTTGCTTGATGAACCTACTACCTATAAAAAACCGCAGTCAGACCCCATACTACCAAATTTCAAACACGAGCTAATACTAATATTATTATCTACTAGATTATTCAATAAAAACTGTATTGACGAAATAATTTCAAAAAAACTTGAACGCTAATTAGCGTAACTCCAAAAGTGCCTCATAATGGTTGCCCCTCCAATCCCCCGATACGTATTTGAGATCTTCCTGATACCTAATATTTTTTGTCCGATTGCTACATTTCAAATTGTCACCCTGTATATTAAACTGTACTATAAATTTCATAGCTGGGTAAACGTGTGGGGTCAGCAGAAAAGATTATTGGTTTCTAGTTGCCACTTGTGTTTCGTGACGTATATATCAAATGTTGAGGAAAACAAGATTTTCATGTTCTCCAGCTCAATTGCTCAAAAGTTTTATATTATGTAGTGCTTGGTGCTTTTACTCTCTTTTACCAGAGCCCATTAAATTATAATTTTTATCACTATTATGTATATTTCCTCTTATATCTAATTATTGTTTACACATTTATGTGCCAAGAAAAACTGTTATTAGTATTGTCAATGTATTTTTATGTTTCAGACAATTTCAAATCAGTAAGCAAGATTGAATTAACGCTGTGTCTAGCCTCCCGGCACCGGTATTCATACGAATCCCGGCTATGGCGCGTTTTAACATCAACAACAACCGGTAACTGTCGTGGATCCCGGCTAGTGCTATACAAGATGTTAATAATTATTAGGTTCATTGGTATTGGAGCAGATTTATTATGAAGAGTAAAAAAAGTTAACAAAGATGAGCTTTTATTAATGGAAAATAAAATTATGACTTTTTATTATAATATGTAGGTAGAGGGTCATTTTGAAAGTTTGTTCAGCATTAGATCTTGTACAGCAACGCCGTTAATGTTCAGCAACATTACACAGAGGGTGCCTCAAAATTAGAGGTTAATATTTTAACTGCAGATTCTACATCTCAAATTAAGAGCAAAAATTCCTATAAACATGGGTCCAAGAGTACCCTATTTCAGAGATACAGGCTGTTAAAAAAGCCATAGTCCTGAATAATGGATGAAAATAAACCATACTATTCCCTTTTTAAACCACTGCTACGAAAAGTGGATTAATGAAGTACTTACCACTCTAATACCAATATCACAACAAGAAACAATAATACACAAAAGCTATTCCGGAATTAATCACAGCTTCAAGCAGCAAGAGAAACACGACTTTGAATTTTGAACCCAATAGCCGGGATCCACGATAAATCCCGGGATTCAGACACAGCGTTGAATTAATTATTAATTGATAAGGGGTTTTCATTCGAGCTTAATGGCTGTCGTAAGTTGGAATTTCTTCCTGACGTTTCGGTAGCACGCGTGGCTAGCACCTCTGAAGATGCAAGTCACGCGTTGTTGTCCTATCCCGAAGGGCATGTTGATTTTGGACACAGATGCAAGCAACACCAGTATTCACTGGCGTAACTAGACCTGGGAGGGCCTAGGGTGGGCCTGGCAGAGGTGCCGATTTTTGAAAGTCCTCATAGGTGCAGGAAAATATTTTTATAAATTTTATTAAAGGGGGAGGGGGAAGCTCGCCGTAGGCGAAACATTTTTTCTGAATGCCACGCCTTAAAACATCTATTTTATAATGTATATATTTTTCTATTTTTTTCTACGAACGTGCGAAACGTGCTTTTTTCTGCACGCATTTCAGGCCACGAAAATATCACTTTTTCGCACTAGTGTGGAAAAGTAATATAATTATGCAATGTTACCTTGGTACTTTTATGTCCTAAAATGCCACATGTCCCGATTATTATCAAAGAATAGAGATGGAGAATAGCAACATTAGCAATATAAAGTAATAGAGCATAAGAATTGACCACAAATAACGAAAGGATAGTTGTGTACAAAGTTGTGTAAAAAATTATATACTAGATACTACGACACGGAACGGAATGACCATCAAATACGTTTGAACTTCCGCATTCCCCATGAGAGCTTCGAGCACCCATGAGAGGTTGCTCATGGGAGTACCTGTCCCAATGCCCCCATGTAGTTGGCGGTGATGATTGTGACTTATTGGAATCTTTAAAAAAGTAGAACAGTGCATTATAGACAATTAGCTGGCTAAACCGGGCTTAAATCACTTACCCCAGCGTATCAGCCACTGTATAGTATAATATTAGCAACGTATAACCGTTCAAATTTAGTAGGTAATATCATAAAATTATGATAGATAACGTAGCTTTCATAAAATACCAAATTATTAAAGTTTTTTCTTGGGGGGCCTAACGATGTCTGGGGGGGGGGCCGGCCCCCCTAGGCCCCCCCGTAGTTATGCCACTGCCAGTATTGAAGCGGTACTTTCACAAAATCAAAATTCACAAGAGCATGTCGTAGAGTAGTCAGCAGAACCTTATTAAAGCCAGAACGAAATTATTGTGTCACTAGAAGAGAGTTGCTCGCCATAGTAAAAGCAGTCGACAATTTCCATCTACGGACGTAAGTTTCTGATTAGAACGGATCACGCAGCTCTAAAATGGCTTTTAGAAATGAGAACTCCCGAAAGGACAGCTTGCTAGATGACCATGTAGAGAAGACTGCAAGCATTGTCAAAGAATCGATATGCATGAGGAAAACACTGGTCCAGCTGTGAGAAGAACGGGTCTTATCATTGATGATAAATGCACTACTAAACTAATTAGAGCAGATCAAGAAGTAGACCAGGACATCGGGCAATTTCTACATCTTAAAGAAAATGATGAATGAGGGCCACAATGAAGGAAACTGTCGAACAAGAGTGTGATTTACAAAGCGTTGTGGGCTCAGTGGAATTCTCTGGCCATAGGAAATGGTTTACTGAAAAGAATTTGGGAAAGTGCCAATGGAAAATCTACTAAGAGCCAACTGGTTATTCCAAAAGATCGAGTAGAAAATTTATTAAAATAAATACATGACGGAACTTCAGGGGCACATTTTGGAGTTAACAAGACTTTGGTCAAAATTCGGAAATGTTTTTACTGGCTTCACTAGCATGAAGACGTTCAAAACCAGTGTCGAAAATGCGACCAGTAAAGGCCCGAAACTAATATCTCGGGGGCCCATGAAACAGTACAACGTCGGTCTCCCTTGAAAGAATAGCGATAGATATTGCCGGACCGTTCCCTGAGTCACAACGTGCTAACAAATACATCTTGGTTATCATGGATTACTTCAGTGGCCAGAAGTTTTCGCTGTTCCCAATCAAAAAGCTATCACTATTGCCCAGGTGCTAATGGACGAAGTTTCCAGTAGTCATGGTGTTCCACTAGAGTTGCATTCAGATCACGGGACGAAACTTCGAATCTGCCACCTTTAAGAAAATTTGTGAGATTATGGGTATTCGTAAGACAAGACAAGGACAACACCTTTACATCTACAGTCTGATGGCATGGTAGAACGATTTAATAAGAACATAGAGGAACACCTGAAAAAAGTGGTCGCAAAGAACCAGCGAGATTGGGACAAACACTTAACTCTATTTTTATTGGCTTACAGAAGTTACAGAACAGAGCAGCTGTTCACGAGTTCACAGTTAAAAGTTCAGCAAGAATGGTTTTTGGAAGGGAACTCAGGTTACCTTGCGATTTGATTTCTGTAATACCTGAAGAAGAACGAAAAGAAATTTGAGATTATGCCGACGAAGTGAGGACACGACTTCTCGGGATACATGATTTTGCTCCGGAGCATATCCAGCTGGCCAGTGACCGAATGAAGACCAGATACGACTTGCTGTATAATCCAACATGAAAGAAAGGAGTAACAACGAAATTGTCTTCAGCATGGGAAGGACCCTACTACAGAATAATCAAGAGTCATTGTCATGATTCAAAAAAAATTTAGAACCAAATAGGAATGGCCAAAAATTGAGACGGAAATATTGAGAAATGGACCCGAAATTTAATAAGAAAAAAATTGGTAGGCGTAGAGAAATTTGAAGAGGAGAACAAACATTCAAGAGTCAGGAATAGAAAAAAATTGAGAGGAAAACGTGAAAATAGAGAGGAGAAATATCAAAAAAGTTGGTTAAGAAAATTTCTCTTTTACTGTTACAGGAGTTTGATTTTCTTTTTATTCCTTTATTTGGAGAAATTCAAAACAAACTAGACAAAAATTCAAGAGACAAAAAAGTGAAATTCTTGACGTGAATTTAAAGAAGCCCAGTTTACGAGACAAATAAAACATCATCTTCTTTGGAAGACGATTTCATTACCCATAAAAGAAATAAATTCCCATGTGACATAATGAGTTATGAGACGAAAGACATCCGAAGTTTTATTTAGCATCTTAAATAAATCACGAACCTAAAAATACAAATTTCTCACCGGCACGCATTTCCACGAATGTCTATTTCTATTTGAAACTGAAAGTGTCGGCGAACTTTGTATAGCTACATAAAATCTTTGCATAATGTAAGCGAACTCATAAAAGTTTGTATTTTGATTACAAAGCTATTTCAAAATATAGGTCAGTTTTTATGACAATAATTTGTATGACTGGGATTTTCAATTTTGTGTTAGTTGCTCTAAAACAAGCACTGCATGGAATACTTACAGTATTTTTTTAAAACAAAAAAAGTCCTCACAAAACATATATAAAAACACACAACATATAAAAGTTTTATTTACAGGAATCAATTCATGCGCTCTTTCTACTACTATTCAACATTTTCCTCAACTTCCTTACATTAGTTTTAGCTTGTAGATAAGTTTTTTGTTGATCCATATCGATCGACTTCGATCTTTCGCGCACTCCACTCAAATAATCGTCGATTCTTCTTTCGCGATTTTTATTCACGTTTATTGAAGATAGCATGTGCATTGGTTTAAAATTGGTAACACCCGATTCATCTATGAGAATATATGGGACTCTGCCAGCTAAAACGCCTCTGGCAGACTCTTTTGGTATAACCGCTTGGTAATTGCCCCTGGTAATTAATGCTGGAACATCTAAACGCATTTTGCGCATTAGAAAATCTTCTATGGCTAATAGATTTTGTTTTTTCATCAGATCGTAAGGCACGTCTCTGGAATTTCTCAATGGTGACATTTCTGATATAACTATGGCACTTTCTCTGATTAGTTGGCGGATTCTGGGATCTGATTTGGCACATTCTGGATTCTTTTTTATTCTACTTATGGCTGTTTTTAATGAGTAATCCTTTTCGGATAATTGTCGTATTATTGTCATCCTTTTTAGCATATCTATTGAGGAATCTTTCAAGTTGTTCAAAGCTGTTTTGGGTGTAGATAAGTTTTCAATTATATCCTCTAAGTCTAGAGCTTTAGCAAAACTTATAGCTTCTTCAATAAATTCCAAAACAGTACTTTCTTTTTTGTTTAATAATTCCTCAAAATTATTGTCCATTAATGCATTTACGGTTGCTACAATGCTGTCTTGTAGAGCTTCTAAAGCCTTGTCCTCAGAGTTTGCATGTTTTATTCTTAATTGTACTTGTTCAGCCAAATCACTTATAATTTCAGGACAAAGTTTGGCTAATTTAGCAAATGAAACATTCATAACAGTGCCATCGTCAATTATTTTATCCAAATATTTAAGGCAATCATGCAGAGTTTGATTTTTGGCCGTAAGCTTTTTCAAACAAGCTACCTTTGTGTGTGAAATATCTTGTGTGAGTTGTTTGAGGACTGCGTCGCATATTTCCAAACGATCATATGGAGTGTCGAGTAGTTTCAAAAGCTCTTGAAGCAAGCTGGGATTTTTCCTAAGACTTTCCTCAATAATTTCCACAATTGAATGCAAAGCTAATATTTGATCTTTCGGTCTGCTTTTGTAAACATCATTGGCAGCTACCAAAGCTGTTTTAAATAAAATTTTCAATTTTTCAGAACACTTGTTGAATTTTATGTCTTTTTCGGTTGGGTTTATGTTTACGTCTAGATTTATGTTTTCAACTCTAATGTTGTTTCTGTCCCGAAAGGCCGCCGATCTTCTTGTAAGAGCAATTAAAACTTCTGGTAATCTATTAATACTCTCCTTGTCGTCAGTTATTTTTAAAGCAGCCTCAAATGCATCACTATCGTTTATGTAGGAGATTAAATTATTTTCAGAAGTCATGCTTAATTTTCTCAGCTCTTCAAGTTTTCTTTGCAGTTGCTTTTTTTTCTCTTCCAAAGACAATATTAAATCATTTATTCCATCATCTTGAAGTATAAGTTTTAGTTTCTCAAGCTCTTTGCGTTGTTGCTCATGTTTTAATCTTATAGCTTCCAAATCTAGTTCCTCTATATCAGAATTATTAAGCTCTTCAGATGTTGAAGGTTCATCAGTTGATACATCAGAGTCTTCATCGTCCAATAAATTTTTATTACAATTTTCAACAATAATTTCAATATTTTCAAAATCTTGCACTCCATTTTCTTTCATAATATCTTCAATTACCTCTTTCAAACATTCTTCGTTGTTGTTGTCTTCTTCAGGCACAACACTTATAATCCTCAACAACTTTCTGCGTCTTTTTTGTCGTTGTTCTTCGGGTTCTGGAGCTGGCCGTTCTTCAGCTGCTGTAGCAAATGTTAATTGTCCCCCTGAAGTAATTGTAGATTGAGTTGGTAAAAATAGTGGGTCTTTACTATCGTCGCCCATTATTAATCCATTAACCAATGTAGGATTGTTGTCGATGTTTATAGTAATTCCTGGAGCGTATTCAGCTCCGTATTCGTTTTCTACAGTTTGGCCTGGAACAAACACGTCTCCTTCTTCAGTGTGAACCATTTGGCCACTAATGAAACATTGTTTTCCAGAAGGTAGGGTAACTGTTGCTCCTGAAACTGTTCGTTTATCGTTCGATTCGATTTGAGTCAAGGTGGCATCACCCAGATTTTTAAGAATTTCGGGTATGTCTTTTAGCGTTGGGAGTTGATTGAGCAACTCTTCTTTTTGAGCAAGTGTTTCGTTTACGTGTTTTGTAGCTTCCAGATCAGCTATTTCCATAGGTATGGGGTTTTCGGTAACTGGGTTATCAATATCGTCTATTACTTGTTTGGCGTCTTCTTCGAACTTTTTCCAGTCAAACTTACGCATTATGTGTTTCATCATTTCTTTGAAAGCTTTCGTACCCTCCCATTTGTGTTTTTTGCGTTTTTTCATTATTTTCTTTAGTTCTTGTTCCCATTTTTCTTCTTCCATTTCTTTGTCTTCGAATAGTTTGGCTAGGCTCATGGTGTATTTGCCGTGGTGATGGAATTTTTCCTCGTCAGCTGAGGTGGCGCCCTCGCCGCAATACAAATCATCGCCGGTTTGTTCAAAGTATTGCATTTCTATAGGGACTTTTTTGAAATCTTTAGTTTTAACGAGGATTTTGTCTGTTTTTTGTGATATCATTACGTCTAAGATATCACCATCTCGTACAGCTAGCTCGAAAGCTGCTTGTACGACTATGTTGTACTTTTTATCTTCCACGGTATAGACAAACATCGGACCTTCGTTTGGTTTGCTTTCTAATATTTTCAATAATCGTTTCTGGTTTTCGTTTTCAGGATCGAAATTTGGAGTCATGTATGTGAAATCGTTAGCTTTGTTATGTTTTTTGGTGCCATAGTTTTTAGATTTCTTTGAGCGTTTTTGTTTGTGGTTACGCAAAACTGGCGCGTAATGTTGGTATTTTGCACCCAAAAGCCATTTGCCTGTTATTCTGAGGGTGCGTAAAGCATCTTTTGGCGTGAGCGGCTTCAGTAAGGGTAGATAAAAATTCCTTTTGAATATTTTACTGGCTCCGGTAATTTTGCAAAAAGAAAGCACGTAGTTCACCATTTTTTTACAGTTTTTTTTTGTTTATTTAATATGGTTCTTCAAAAAAAAAAAATCAATATACAGTTCGATTTTAACTTAATCAAGTAGCACTTAAAAAATAATTCGTACAACTAACTCGATTTGATTATAAACGAGGCAAAAACAAATAGACGTCAATATACAAAGCGTTTGAAAATTACGAATAAAAAAACACAATTTAGAAATAGAAGCAAAAATAGGTTCGTTTCGGCGATGTTCGGAGTCGTTTATCCGGGCGCGTTTTGAAAGATCCCGACGCTTAAGCTGAACTGGCGTCGGGACGAGGAGCTGTGGATCGTCAGGATTCACCTGTGTGCCGTTTCTGGAATCCCCTTCTTTTCCGTCTTTTAAAATTAATTTACCTGTCCTAGAAAAAAAAGAAAACAGATACCCGAAAAAAGAAAAAAAATTACAATGTTTGGCAGGAGTTTAGCAGTCACTTATTTTATATTGTTGACATAAAATTATTTGGTATAATGTGTATTGCTCACTAATAGATAAGAAAACCAATGAATGTATGCCTATTATTCATTAGTGAGTAATGCTTTATCAGTTCCAGTGTGTACAATAATTGAATATTTGAAGTTGCAATGATACAAAGGATGACATACATTTTGTTATTTGATTGGAATTGAGTGAAATTTGTTTTTTAATAAAAAATTACATATTTTTTTTTAATTTACAATATTAAAACGATAATAATTGCTATCAGATTATCAAATGAATTGTAAAAAAATCAGTCTTGAGATATATGTATAACTGAAAATTTCCGTAAAGTCGGAATCATGAAAACTTGCTTTAATTATCACTTTGTATATTATGACAATGAAAAATCCGATAGCAATTATTACAACATAAAATTTCACTCAACATTACATTGCATGCTCCAAACAAACAAATAAATTACAATTTTAATGTCTTCTGAAATCAAATTCGGACGTGTAAGAGTTGAGAACTTTCTGATACTTCAACAATCTCGTTTGGGTCTTGGCTCTCTCAATAATTTCTTTGGTCTTGTCGTCGTCGAAGAACGTCCCCTTCTTGATGCTCAACTCCAATTCCTCTAGCTTGGCGCTCTTCTTCACTGGCGTTATCGGTTCGTACTTGGGTGGCTTCTCAATTTTCATTTCTTTGCACTTTTTCCTGATTTCCATACGCAGCTTCATTACTTTGGTTTCTTCTTTGAGCACCTTCTCTTCCATCCGCTCCTTCATGCGTTTCCTCTCTTCTTCCTCTCTCAGTCTGCGTTGCTCTTCAAGTATCTTCAATGGATCCTCGATGGAAGCCCTCCGTGGCCTAAACTCCCTTGGAGGTGTAGGTTCTCTAGGCCTCATATCGATTACTGGTCTTTTTTTGACGCGTTCCTTGATTAGCGGTTCTGAAGGTTCGTCAAAGTTACGACGTTTAATGACTATGTCCTCATCGTTGATTACTCTTGGCTTTGGCTTGGGAGCTGGAGGGGGACTGGGAGTTAACTCACGACGACGTCGTTCTGGTGGGAGGTCCTCGTTCGTCGCTTCGAACTTGAGTTGACCTTCCTCTGTAATTGTGGATTCGCCTGGCAAAAACATCGGTGTACTTTGTTCTTCGCCCATAACCAGGCCTGGAATTAGGGTGGGTTCCCCTTCCAGTAACACCGTGATACCTGGGGTGTATTCTGAGGAACCATCCTCACTTTCAATGGTTTGTCCTGGAACGAATATTTCGTTTTCGTCGGTTTTGACGATTTGTCCAGGTACAAAGCACGATCTGCCAGGTATTTGGACTCGTGCGCCTGAGACGTTGAGCATTTCTTCCATTTCGCCATTTTCCATGTTTTTAATGACTTTCGGAATTTCGAGCATTGTGGGTAGCTGTTCTAGGACAACGGTACCACCGAGCTTAAGTTTTTCATTCACATTTCTGGTTTTTTCCATATCGTCTACCTCCATGGGAATATTCTCTTCTTCGACAGTTTCCTGTTGTTCCTCGACAATTTGCTTGGTATCTTCTTCAAACTTATCCCAATCCATATCTTCCACGCAGCCACTCATCATAGCTTTCCAATCCATATTGTCTTCGCCCTTGACCTTCTTCTTGCGTTTATTCGCCATTCGCATCATTTCCAATTCCCATTCTTCCACTCCAGATTCTTTGGCTTCGAAAAGTTTGGCCATTTGAAATGTTTCTTTGCCATGATGATGCTCTTGCTCGATGTGTTCTTTGGTCCAGCCCGAGCCACGATAAAGTGTCACGTTGTCATTGAAGGGCGCCACAGGTACGGTTACTTTGAGGCCGTTCGCTAGTTTGAGGACGATTTTTTCGCTTCGTTGGGCAATGGTTATGTCCATAATGTCTTTGTCTTTAATGGCCTTTTCCATTTGGTAGTTTACTACAAGGTTGCAGTTTTTGTCAATTATTTCGTAAACATAGTACTGGCCACGTCCCTTGGGTTTTCTTGCCAGAATCCCTTTGATTTTTCCATGTCCATCCATGTTGTCATCAAGGAATGGTTCTACGTAGCGCATGTTTTCAGTTCGTTTGATTTTCTTTTTAATAACTGGAACCCCTTTGCCTCTTTTTTTCTTTTCGGAGACTTTTTCTTCATGAGGCTTAAGCACAGGAATGTAATGTTCAATTCTGTTGCCCAAAACATTCTCGCCGGTAATGATTTTTCTTCGTAAAGCATCTTTAGGCGATAGAGGTTTCAGTAAAGGCAAATAGTAATTGCGTTGAAAGAGCTTACTGGCCCTTGTGATTTTGCACAGGGAAATCTTAACGTTAATCGGCATCTTCGAAACGTATTCAAGCTTCTACTTGCTTATGATTTGATTATATAATAAGGTTTGACATTTGCACACCAAAAAAAAAAAACTAATCAGACTACTAAGATCGGATTAGCTTCGCGCACATCGAGTCGAGCAAAACGGACGATCGGCAATGAACTAGAAACTAATTTAAATAAGTCCCGCATGTGTATGAAGAATGCGAACAATCTTGAATCAGTGCCCGACCCGATAACCGATATCTAAAACCGATCGACTGTCTGTCCAAATTGGGTAACACATACTTAGTAGACCGATTTCCATATACGATGACGAATGATCCCCACCGAGTCAAAGGTTTTTTTATACTGATAGGTGTCCATCCAATGGAATGGCTCGTGATTGTTTTCTTTCGTCAGCCATTTTTTGTAATCTACCTCGAAAAATTTCCCTTTTTTGATGCTCTTTTCCATATCTCGCAATTTTTCGCTCTTTCTTACCGGCTCTAATGGTTGATACTTTGGTTTCGGCGGTAAACTGTCTCTCATCTTTTTAACCATTAACTTGATTTCCCGACGCTGTTTGTCCACTTTAGCTTCTTCTTTGCCTGTTTTCTCCTTGAAAGCTTCTACACGTTCTTTTTCTTGTTCTAGGAAATCCTTCTCGAAGGTCTGGGTGGTAAGGTCGAACAATTTGGTATCGGGCACTATTGTCTTTCGGCGATCCGCCAGATCTTTTTCTGGGGGTGAAACGACCGGGGGTAGTTTTTTCGGACCACGTACGCGATGTTTAGGACCCATCTTTTCTTGATTGAACTCGCGCTTGGGCCGTTCGTAAGTGAGCTCCTTCTTTTTTGGGGGCGGTCTCTGTTCGATCTCCTCTTCTTCACTATTTTGCTCCTCTTCCAACTCTATTTCTTCCACCTCCTTCTCGAAAGGCGGAGTCAGTGACGGCACGATGTCGTCTTCGTTGACGCCAAACTGTAATTCGCCCGACTCTGTAATCGTAGCTTCCCCGGGCAAAAACATGGTTTTTTCGGGATCATTGCCCATTACTAAACCTGGAATTAGAGTTGGCTCGTCTTCTAATAATACTGTAAAGCCAGGTGTATATTCTCTTTCACCTGACTCGGTAAGGACAGTTTGTCCGGGCACGAATATCTCACCGTCCTCTGACGTCACCATTTGACCGGGCACGAATCTGTGAGTACCAGTGGCTAGATTCACCCTTGCCCCTGAAACATTTGCTATTTCTGTTAATTCGCTATGATCTTTGAATATTTTTAGGATTTCGGGAATTTCGGGCATTTTAGGTAACAGTGACATTACATCTTCTCCTGCAGCTTTTAGCTTTTCAGTTACGTCACAAGTTTTTTCTATGTCATTTAATTGCATCGCGATCGGGTCGTCTTCGACGGGTTCGTTTGCTTCTTCGACGATTTGTCTGGATTCTTCTTCGAAAGCGTCCCAATCCATATTTTCGGTGGTGGCTGCTAACATTTCTTTCCAATCTCTGGTGTCTTCTCCCTTCATCTTTTTCTTTCGTTTGTTCGCCATCCTCATCATTTCGAGTTCCCACTCTTCTATGCCCGCTTCTTTAGCTTCAAAAAGTTGAGCGATAGAAAACGTTTCTCTGCCGTGATGATGAAACTCTTCAATGTCTTTTTTCGTCCACCCTTCGCCCCTGTAAAACGGAGCCTTACCACTGTAAGGGGACAAGGGCATTACAACTTTTAAACCATCCCTCAATTTGACGATGATTTTCTCGTGTCTTTGTGCAATCACAATATCGACTATGTCTTTGTCTCTTATTGCTTTCTCGAATTGATGGGTCAATACTAGGGTACACTTTTTTTCGGGGATGTAATAAGTGTAACACTGACCACGGCCTTTCGGTTTTCGTATAATCATGTTCTCGAGTCGTCCATGATTGTCCATCATTTCATCGAAAAACGGAGTGAGGTACCTCATGGATTCCTTCTTGCGTTGTCGTTTTTTCCCTTTCCCCTTAGGCATATGTCTTCGTCTTGCAACCCTGGAAGCATGATCTTCCAATACAGGTATCCAATGCTCTAGAGCCTTAGCCAAGACATCTTTGCCTAAAAATAAAAATTAAGCGAAATAAGTTACCTATGTTATCTTCGAATTAAATCCTTGCCTGTTATTATATGGATTCGAAGGGCGTCTTTGGGTGACAAAGGCTTGAGCAATGGCAAGTAAAAATTCCTTTGGAACAGTTTACTTTGCCTGGTGATGTTACATAACTGTATCATAACGTTAAAAGGCATTTTGATAGAAATTTAGTATCCGAAAACCGTGAAAAATAAAGAGAAAAATTAGTTCTGTAGCTACACCGAATAAAAATATATCCCTAAGAGGTCAGGACTATTGTTCGAGCACAACTGGCCTAAAAATTGCGCAGAAAAAAGTGGGGCGGGCTATTCTTGACCTATTTTTGTTACTGATTCAAGTTTGGCTGATTGACTTTGGGTCGCCTCTATAGCCCTACGACATTTCGTGTTGGTTTTTTTAATGAATCAATTGGTAATAATAAAGAATCGGACAGGATATGTCACATGGGTATTAGAAACATTTTAATGGAGAATTTTAAGTGTTGAGAGGGCAATTGCCAAAACTGATTGTTTGAAACTAATAATAATAATTATTGTTTCAATTCTATTTTATTTTTTACAAAACAATTAATAATAGAATATAAGAATAGGTACACGTGTAAAAGACTATCTCTCTTTAAAATGTCAAGATGTCAGCAGGAAAAAACAACTTTATTTTTAGGGGTATCTTAAATTTAGCTTTTTGGTTAGCATGCCTGGCAGTATAGAATTCTTATCAACAATTAACATTTCGCTTCTTATATACAGGAAGTTCTGGCGTCCAGCGGAATGAAATCGAACCTTTTAGCAAACATTTTTCAATCATGTATTGAAAATTGGGATGTCGATTTACTTGCTGCGCAATGCTTTTATCATTTGTAGGAGAGCGCCATCTTTCAACCGATAGCTCTCAATTGTATGTTCGTTTTTCAAAATTTTCCCTTTGAAAAGCAGTCTTTGTTGATCCGGTGGAGTTCCTTGTAGTTCCTGCAGTTTTTCTTTAACTGTCAAAATCTGATCTGTTGGCTCAATTTCTATGGATTTTTCTTCGCCTGGAAGACACGAACCACGGTATTGTGATTGGTTAGATTTTGAAATAAACGCTTTACCTATATATGGTTTAATTCTGAGAATCATTGGTGTATTTTTTTTTCTGTAGTTTATCAGGCACTGAAAATTTAGTGATGATGAATGAACTTTTTCAAAAGGGCGTCAAACTTATAAGCACCAGTGACAATTTTATTGTCAAAAAAAAAAAATTACTTTTTAGTTACATTCCCAAAATTAACTGTACAAATCTTACCAATGCCAGTAACATTCCCTATTTCTAATGATAATAAAAGTTGTCACCTTAAACGGACATGAATGTTTGATCGATGTACAACCCTCAGATACAATTATAGGTAAGTTTAGGATTATGTATAGAAACAAACACCAGATTATTAATTATAGGCTTGAAGCAAAGACTAGAAGAAAAAGAAGGTATACCACCTCAACAACAAAGATTAATTTTTCAAGGCAAGCAGTTGAATGACGACAAAACTTTAGCCAGCTACAAGCTTAAAGGTGGCAGCGTTTTGCATATGGTCGTTGCCCTAAGAGGCGGCGAAGATAATAATAATGTAGGCTTTTTAGAGATAATCTAAATTGGTCAAAATGTAAAAAAAAATTCACACAAAACAAATACAGACATGTAAAATAAGATAATGATTTTATTCTTAATTAAATAGGTTTGTTTTTCAAGTATGAAGTTTAAAACGAACAAATGTTAAAACTTATAAACATTACAAAATCAAAATAATACTTACTTAACTTAAAGACAATCAATAGCCATAAATACAGAATTAGGCGGTATACTTATCTGTAACTTTCTCAGCCCTATTCATTCAGGACAAAAACAAGTAGTATAATTAACAATATTCCCCATAGAAAAGTGTTGCAAAAGCGTCTGAATCATTTCCGGATCAGTGCCGTCTTCTTTGTATAAAAATTCAAAATCTGGCATCAGTTTGAAATCCATAGTCCTCAAGTTGACAGAAGCTTCAGTTTCATTGTCCTTTTCAGGTTTTTGTACTTTGTCCACTTTCGTTATCAGATCAAAGTAAGGCCCGTTGTCAAACATTTGTTTAGTTTTTGTGTCGTCTTTACAAAAATCCTCTGGCAAATCAAATTGAGCTGCACCTTTAACATTATTTGAGGAACTTGGCAAATTAACATCAGAAATGCTCAATTTTCTCACTGTTTCATTTAAATCTTTTACATCTGCTCCCAATCCTAGCCCCACTCTTTTAGCAGCTTCATCAATTTTTTTCAAGAAATTATCTATATCAGATTTAGTAGGATCCTGTTTGAAACTGTAAGGAGGCGCAATGGGTGGCTGAACAGGAGCTCTATATACATAAGGAGCTTCGCCTTCAAGTTGCAAAGGGTAAGTAGTGTCAGAATCGTAAGCACTAACATCTCCACACACAATAAAGGGAATAATAACTTTGTTAATACCCTCCAAAGTGCTAAAGTCCTTATTGGACACATCCAAATATGGGGTAATCAATTTGGGATCAAACCCTTGAGGAGGATTGTAGCCTTGACAAACCACGAAAGCTTCGATGCTGGAATTTCTGGAACTTTTTGGCTTGGCCACATGAACTTCTTGGAACAAGGTTAACAGTTGATTTGTTAGCAAATCGCTGTCTTTGCCCCTGAAGATTTTTGCTACAAAGGTACCTCCTGTTTTCAATACGTTACAAGTAATGTGGAGGGCTCCTGAAAAGAAAAAATGTATATTGGAAATATTCTCCAGATAATAGGCCATGGGCCATATTCATAGGAAGGAATTACAAATCTATAAATGTCTCTCAGAATTACTAGCCCTCAGAGATCAAAATCAGGTAGGTATAATACTCCAAAATTTTCCACCCCTAAAAATTGTTTTTGACAGGAATTGCTGAGCCAAAATCCTATAATTTAACAATTCTGGAAAGTTTCTCAGCAATTTGCAAGGGAAGCCTTTCAAAGCAATTTCATTCAAACACCAAAATTTAAAAGAGGCTAATTTTGAAGTATTGAACTTGGTTTTGAGCTCTAGAGAGCTTAGAAATTGCTGAAACTTTCTAAATTGTTAGATTGCAAGAATCGGAGAAGCAGAGCATTTTCTGAATATTAGACACTCGATTAGACACTAAAAGCGTATCAGAATATTTTCTTAGTTTCTAATAAATAGGAATTGAATAGTTAAATTCGAGGGGTAAACCGCTGAGAAAAATGTGTACACTCATTTCCAGGATAATAACTAATTCCTCTAATTCCCCTAATTTCCTTGATATTTCTAATTCCCAAACTAATTCCCTTCTAATTCCAGTAATTTTACTAATTCCCAACTAATTCACCAAATCTATCACAAAAATTTGTTCACAAAATGGTGTAGAATAAATCAAGAATATCTAGATGTTTGTACTATTACATGTTAAAATAAAGAAGCCTGTAAAAAAACTGGGGAAAAAAAAAATTACATGGGTAACTTCTGTTTAGTCCTTTTCATAGTCAAGGTCGGAATTTTTGGAAGATGATTTCTCCAATGTTTTCCGACCCGTTTTTCTTGTACTGCCTATAAATCTTTTTAATCGGTCAATACTTACTTACTTAGACTGATCTAAAACCCAGCAGCACAATGACTTTTTAATGATTGAAGAATTTTTACCAAGAACGTTAAAGTTTATACAACTTGTTTCCAAAGTATCACATACGCGATCTTCATGAGAAATTGCCAAGAGTTTTTTTTTTTTAACTTAAGTCAATGACTATATCGCCCTCATTACTAACATCAATTGTGTTTACTACACTTGATAATTTTTATTTCCTTCAAGGTTTTATTCAACTTCAACGTCGCCTTCCTCGATCTCTATGTTTTCCTGTGTATATCCGATATTTTGTGTTCGGTTTATTGAAGATATAGTATTTCCAGAGTCAATTGAAACAAGGTAATAATAAATTGCAACTGGTGGCTGACTAGTGGCAGTGCATTTCTTATGAAAATATTCAGTCACCAGTTGTGATTTACCTTCACCTTGTTTCAACTGACTTTGGAAAGACTATATCTGCATATCGTCGCTTATCTGACAAATGGGCGTGTGGTTCCGTGTTCTTCTTCTTCTTCTTCGTTTTTGGCACTGCTACAAGGCAATTTGCCAGCTCATTAATGGTTCCGTGTTTGTGTTAATTGAAAAGCAGTTTCAGTGATAATATTTTATTTAGACAGCTATAAACACATACTTTTTCTAAATACTATTCAAATTCAAGAAATTTCAGGTGAACATGATAAAATATGACAGATGGACATAGGTCCCTTCGTTAGATCTGAATATTATTGTTATCTTACTTATGCCTAGTAATACACTTAACAAAACATTAATAACAATCTCCGATAAAGAACAAAAAAAAATCCCACTCTATAAACGAAACACAAACAAAAGTTAACATTAAAAAAAATCGTAAATCCGTATAAATCACAAGAAATAAACAAAATAACTTTATTTAAAAAAAAGAGAACGAGAAGCTTAATTATTCCAATATAGGGAAGATCTTTGAAGAATTGTTGGAAAGTTTTGTCTCGCACATCTTGTATATCCGACCTGTGCATAGTACATAAGATCTTTTTATTTATTTGCTGGGAGTTTTATCTGGCCACTGTTTGATTTGGGTATAGGTTTTTGGAGCACATCAGGTGATAGCCTTTGTAGTGGCAGTTTCTGATATTCAGCATCATGGTGACTTTTTTAAATATTTATATGTCAACTTTGTTTACCATTACTTCCTTAATTTTGGTCCAGTCCACATTTTCATCAGTCCAGTTTTCTGGTTACGCGAAGGCGGATTTTTTCAGCCAATGATTTATAATAAAGAAATTCTTCGGTGGTCATTTCAAAAACCGTGTATGGCAAATTTCTTCTGGCGAGTCTAAAGATGGGGGATAACTGAACTCTGCTGGTATATAATTATTTCCGGCGGACCGAATTGCTGTTGCAATAGAACTGTGGGCGGAATCCGCTTAATTTTGCTCATGATTTGTTTGGAAAAAGGATAATACAATTTCACGTATGTTTCTTTAATTTGCGACAACTTGAAGTAACATGGTGAAAACGATTGTATTTTTGTTCTGGCCACCACAACTATCTGCGAAAAGCCTTACTTCTTTTATTCCTTGGTTGACCTGTGTAAATATCTGCCAACGCATATAGAAATTTCATTAGCATTGCTTTTACTCATAACTTCCGGCCAAGAGAAGCAGTAGCACTCTCTATTGCCCATATTGTGAATAGTGAAGGTAAATACCGACAAGCGACGACGATCTAAGACAATGCATTTTCCTTACTTATAGGTAACTGAATTACTGGTTGCATGTCAAAAACAGCAGCAGCTATTAAATCTGAGTTGTCTTGGACATTTCCTTGGCATCATCCTTCTTTTTGCGCATAGTGTTTTTCTCAGCGACATGTGCAGTTATGCATCTTGAAGCTCTAATTTTTTATTTGCATCACCTTCCCTGTACGACAAACAAATTCTACATTGGTCCTTCCTGGAATGGTGGAAGGACAGATTCAGAGATTTAAATACTCTACGGTAAGTATGGTAGCTGCATTTTGGCTGCTCCAGGCTCTCTTCTTAGTACAACTCAAACATTTGCTTCAAGTTTGAGTCGGGATGTAAATATTAAATATTCTTTTGAAGTTGATTTTCTACAAAAGTGCGACTCTTTTTTTGGGAACTTTTGTATGTGAGCCAGAGCTGAGGCTCTAATAACTTCGTCTTTTTGTTTCAAATTTGCATAGTGCAACGCCCTACACGTTCATCGAACAAAACTATGCCTTCCACCGTTCTCTTGCTTAATTTCCGTCCGAACTGCTCTTTCGGAAACTGCCAGTGTGTTCTGAAATGTAATTTTACAAACTGGTAATGATCCTCTGCTTTTGGCAAACAATAAGCCAAAGTTCTTGTTCTTATGGACTCTGTTGCAGCAGTTATTCTATTTTTTACACCATTCTCATTGATATGGCTTATGATATAAACTCCCTCTGTAATTGGAGACTTTGTATTGTAGAAAGCATGAAATATTTCCTGGCATTCTTCCTTAGTAAACAGCTTGCAGCTCTCATTTTTACATTTTTGAGAATCACATCGCTGAACTATATGCTTTTCCTTCTGTTCTTAGGGTACAATGCGTACCATCTTTTATTTAAAAAAATTGAAGCAATGGGTGTTCACGGAACTCCGCTGACTTGGTTGCGCAATTATTTATCTGGTCGAACACAGGTTGTGAAAGTAAAAAAATGTATGTCGTCAATAATCAATGTATCATCGGGTGTGCCTCAGGGAAGCCATCTATCGCCTATGTTATTCAACTGCTTTATAAATGTCAGTCTAATAAGTTGGAACTCAATGTAGGTAAATGTTGTACAATCAGTTTCTACCAATTGAAGGCACCCATTGTATACTCCTATGTATTGAATAATCAGAAACTGATTAGAGAGATCATAAAGGACCTTGGTGTGATGATTAATAAAGAATTCACATTTGGACCTCACATAGAATATCTAAAAAATAGGTCGATTAAATTGCTTGGATTTGTCATTCATTCTCTGAAAGATTTCAATAACATATTTGCATCAGATCTGTCAATGTATATGCTTATCCTGTATGGTCTCCCTATTATAAAAAATGGATCGATGAAATTGATTCCAAAAAAAGTTTTTACGTCATGTAGGATATCGACTGAGTATTCCAAGAGATGAACTTCAATATAGTGACATATTGGCTCTCTTGGAAATATCGTCACTGGAAAAAAGAAAATTGTATTTTGATCTATGCACATTGTTCAGGGTTTTGAACGGTTTAATTGTTTCGCCGGCATTGTTGCAACTAATTAATTTTAAGGTACCAACAAGACAAACTCGACAAAATATAACCTTTGGTGTATCCTCTCATGTAACAAATTATTGTTTTTATTCACCTATATCTAGCTAGAATATGCAGAGAAGCAAATAGGCTTCCACCTACTGTTGATTTTTTTAACTCCTATTTCAGTAAGTTTAAGATAGATGTTAAGAATTACTTAAGGTTAATGTAAATAAATATTATTGTAAATGGTCTTTGAACGTTAATAAATTATTATTATTATTATTTTGTAGAGTTTCTTCAACTGTAGGTATCTTTGATATCCAACTTGAGAATTTCTTGTTTACATGGTAGTTTTTGTTCTGGCATTTTTATTCCATCAGGTTTTAGGAAACAAGTAGGTACGCATATTTGTTCAAATATGTGTGGTGTCTTGTACATTATTCTTTATTTTTTTTTTCACTGCTGGAGTGGTACAACCCTCACTCTGAAACTGGCAAAAAATGGAGTAGTTCTGTATCTTCTGTGATTATTTTGTTTTTTTCTTTTTATTCAGGAGCTAAACGAGACATCAAATCATTATTTAAATGCATATTTCTTAGAAGGCGATTATCCGTTTGAGGAAAATTCTAGGGAAAATCTGAGGGAAAATCCCATAAATTGTGATGCCAAATTTCTTAGCATTGTCCTTCATCCATTCCCATCTCAAACTGACCTGCTCAGTAGTCAATGAACTATCAGCCATATCAGGAATAAGGACAGACAGTATGTCAATGTCCCAGCATGTAATGGTTGAGCCAGTATTAAATAGGCCTCGAGATATAAAAGGCATATACTGCTTAATGATGAATCAGTTCAGTGTAAACAAATCGCAATAAATGCATGTCCTTTCAAGAAAAATTATAAAATAAATAATATAAAACAGATTGATGAATTCCATCTATGTTCCATTGGTTACACTGGATCCCTAGCAGTTCTATTTGATGCGACGTTGACTGATTTGGTTTCTATAATTTTCCAATAATTCCACCGTTCTCTCACTAATTCCCCGAATTTCCCAACTAATTCCCTAAATTTCCTGACTAATTCCCATAATTCCCCAGTAATTTCTCAAATTCCCCAGTAATTTCTCAAATTCCCCAATAATTCCTCCAATTCCCCTCTAATTCCTCTTATTTCTTACTTATTCCTGAAGACTGTACACCAAAATTCCCCTGCGGTTTACCCCTCGGTCAAATTAGAACAAGAGGAATACTGATTTTTGAATACTGAAATCAACCCAAAAGGATGCTAATTCTGAAATATTATGCTTGCTTCTACTCTCTGGAATGGTATAAATTGCCAAGAGACTCTTTATACAGTGTGATTTTTTAAGTGTGCAACATATGGGGATTTTTTTTAGTAATAACACAACCCAAACACAAACAAGGCCAAAAGTTGGTGCATGTCTGATAATCTAGGTGCACTTAGAATGGTTGCAAGTCAAACAGCATACAGGGTAGCTCAAACAATATCAAAGCTGCAGTGTAGAGTACCCTTATTTTAGAAAATTCAGCAAAATGTTATAGAGAAAAGTTGTTTGGAATTAAAAGTTATGCCTAAATACCAAAACATAGCCTCCTAAGATTTTTTTTATTTTCTTTCGAAAAAAATTTATAATTTCTATATTTTTTTTATTTTTTATTTCCGCCCTTAATACTTTCAAAAATTAATTAAAATCCGAGAAAATCAAATCAATTTTACATAACTTTGTTCAAATTCAAGCATATTTGTAAAATTAACTTAGATTTTTAATTTTTTATGGAATGACAAAAGTTTGTTGCAATGATATTCAACACAACTTGAAAATGTCGTAATTTTTTTTTTAACAAGTTTAAACATTACTAATGATAATAGCCATATCAAAAAAACTCTCCTTAAAGTGCAAAAGTTTATTTTATTTAAGTTAATATTACTACAATTTTGATATTTTTTGAGCTACCCTGTATGCTGTTTGACTTGCAACCATTCTAAGTGCAGCTAATATGATTATCAGACATGCACCAACTTTTGGCCTTGTTTGTATTGTGATTGTGCTATTACTAAAAAAAAATCCCATATGTTGCACACTTAAGTAATGACACTGTATATTGTCAAAGTGAAACAGGTGGCTGTCAGTGCAAGTTCCAAACTCAAAAATGACTCAAAACTAAAGCTTAAGTAAATTAGAATAATATGCTGGAATAAGAAAAGCCTGTCTCAGCAATTTCTGACTTCCAAATACTAAAATCAACACAAAATGAGGTTAATTCTGGAATATTATGCTGGATTTTACTATCTAGAGACTCTTTTTGAATCATAAAATTTCAAGAGGAGCCTGTCACAATAATTTATGATTTTGAAACACTAAAATCAACCTAGGAGGCTAGTGAGGAGGTTAGTTTTGGAATATTATGCTCGATTTTACTCTTTAAAAGGTTAGAAATTGCTAATTGATTCTTTTTAAATTGTCAAATTGCTAGTAAGCTAAGCCTATCATGAAAATTATTAGAGCTGATTTTTGTGTTTGAAAAAAGACAAGTACTGAAAACACATTTGGTTTGAGTCTCTGCTGAAAATGACAGCAATCATGGCTCAGCAATTTAGAGAGTGAACTTAAACCTCGACTCAAACTATTATTTAAAATTACCTTTTTTTGAACCTAGGAATTGTTGTTTCAAATGTGTCATTTCAACTATTAACCATAAGATTATTACCTAGAAGCAATTGAGCTTGAATATAGATATCCATACAATGCAGTCCTGTAACGTCTGGCGCTCCATCACAAATAACAAGGTCAGATTTTTCTCCTTCAAAGTGGGTGATAATTTCTTGGGCCGTAGAGTATTTGGTGATATCACCTTGGATTTGGATAACACCGGGAAGTGGTGACATGGGCTACAGAAAAATAGAAATATTATAAAATATAAAACCCATATTCTGAACAAACTTTACCTGCAAATCTACAGCAACAATCTTTACACTCTCGTTCTTTTTCGGCGGACTCGTAGGAGTCGTAGGTGGTTTTTCTTCCAAGGCCTCCTTAATCGCGTCCGTGTAAAACAAATGCATCGGTTCTTTGATGTTGATTTCTTCATTTAAATAGAGCTTGCGAGATAGGACTTGGGACCAGCTACCAGGGGCCGCGCACAAATCCACCGCTCTGGTAACGTTGTTCAGAATATTGAATTTTTCGTCGATTTGTAACAATTTGAAGGCGCTGCGCGCTCTCCAGCCCTGTTCTTTGGCCTTGCGATAATAAATATCGCGCTTGTCTTTCGAGGTTTTGCCCATTTTTATTGATTTCAAACACAAATACACACAAAATTTAATTTAGTTTTTTATCCAAATCCACTAGAACCCAAATAAATTTTGTGAGGTTAGGGTTAAGTGTAGTGGTTTTCGGATATACCGACCGGAACGACTCCCCACAGTGCAGTGCAATAAATTATTTTTTGTTCGGATTGATTCAGGTCATGTGCTCTAAGCAGCACTATTTTTAATAGCGCTTTTGACTTTTGCCTCAAAATTGCACTGGAATGATCAAAAAGCGATCCGAAACGGATTCACATGTTCGGCTTGAAACGGAGCGTTGCTCTCGCTCGGTGAGATTCACTTGCTCGACTTGAGCAATAGAACACTAGAACGGTCTCAAATCTCTTGCTGCGTCAAATTCGAAGGTTCAAAGTTTGATCAAAATAATGAAGTAACATTCGGCTATTGATTTTAGATGGTTTGCCCTAGTATAGATTCATAATCGCTCTCGGATCACTTCCGCAGAGATTTGTGACATCGCCCGGACTGGGAGCAGTAATGCCGAAAATGTTATACCAGGCCTTTTGGAAACGCTTATCCGATCAACCGCATCACCAGGGTTGCGTTTAGAAATGGCACTCTAGGCGTGAGAGTGACCCTAGAGTAACTCTAAACCGTTCATAAATGAACAGCCCCCGGATTCTATTTTACGAGTCGAGTCGAATTGTCTCGATATTGAATACGACAGCTCCGGACTTACCGTGTAGGTACGGTGGCTAAATAAACCTTTACATACAGTGGCGACAATAGAGGTCCCGCCGCCATTTTGTTCCCAACCTCTTGTTACTCTTAAATATTAATATATAGGATTTAAATCGTCATCTATTATGAAAAATTGAAATCGACGTATTTGATGACTATTATGAGGTCCATCAAATACGTTGTTTTCAATGTTTTATGAGGGATGTTCACCTAAATCCCATTTATTCAGATTTGAAATAAGCAATAAGTGGGAACAAGATGGCGGCGTTCGCAATATAAATATATGGGATTTTAGAACCAATCAAAAATAAGGGCGATTTTCAGCCTGGAATGATTATTTATCGGTAAATACCGTGGTTATTCTTTTGGTTGACAACTTTGACAGCCAGGTGTGACGTCACAGCCCCCCACCACTCAAGAATCATAACCCAAGGAACTGACCGCTGAAATGATTTGGTTATAGCAGTGTAGGATTATGTTTATCATTTCTATTTGTTTTTTCGTTTCAACAATGGTTTGTTGTTTAGGTACAAAAAATGGAGCGGAATCTCTCGTTAGTCTCGTTTATCGAACAGATTTTCTTTGGGGATGATCTAAACCTCGATCTAAACATGGCGAGTTGCAGTGAGTGAGTGAGTGTATACTTCTTCCATTGTGCTAGGCCACAACACAACTGCAAAATCACAAAAATACCAATATCAATTCCCAAAATAATAACAATAACAGCAAAAAGCTGTAACCAAAAGATTAACCCAAGTCCAGAGCTGGGTTATAATCGGTTATAAGTGGTAAATACCAAAAGCAAATCAGCTGATATGTGACATCACAACTTCCCCTACTTTGGTTAAAACCGCGACGGCGGAAATGCATTGGTTATAACCAAATAATAATCATTCCGGCTGAAAATCGCCTTAAGACAGCAATTGTTGCCACTGTGGGGTAATAGAGTCACTGGAGTAATAGGTATTGATAAATCGGAAAATAGAATCGCTATTTTGACAATTCGATACGAATTTCGACTCGACTCGTAAAATAGAATCCGGCAGCAGGTGCTAACTCGGACTGGAATGCTTCAGAAATCGAGAGTTGACGTGCCCAGAGTGCGCCCAAAGTGTTTCAAACTCTTGAAAGGAATACGCCTAATACGTTCAGAAATGGCGCACCCAGAGTGCACTCCAAGTGATGACGTCAGAACACTCTGACAAACAACTACCCTATCTTCACACTCTATTACTAAACGTACTCCAGCTGATGTACTTTGTCCTTTTTCAATCGTGTTCATTGAAGAGAGATAAAAAAAACAAACAGCTAGTGATCGGGTTAATCGGATCAGCGTTTCCGAAAAGGCCTACAGTTTACTCGGAGAAACTATCAAACCAGAAAGAGCACTATTTTAAATCCGAGTGCTATTCAAGCTCCGAGAGTTTATTGCACCTACTGAAAGGACTGCTGGAAAAGTGCGAATCACTCGGAACTGCTCAGAGTCACTCTCTCTGGTTGTACCCGAACTATACAGCTGCGTTTCCTTGGTGGTCTTGAGTTTAGAATGGACACTACTTATTAGTATTTGACAAATAGGTCATGTCAATTCTAAACGTTCAAGGCTTCCTTGAGGTTTGAGGAAACAGGAAACCTCAAGGAACGACTATAAATTCGGCTCTTATAAAGCAGGTAGTAGGCAGGTTGAATCAATTTTGTGTTACGTCATGGGTTCATCACGAGAATATACTATTTCAAACCTGTTTTGATTTTGAACCAGTTTCAAAAAAGTGAACGTGAGAAAACAGCTCTGGAAAAAAACGGCTTCATTTTCTAACTATGTTACTAGTCCTTCACCTTTACCTGCTCTAAGCTGTGGAGCTTCGACGCCTCGCTAGGGCGCTAGCGGTGGGGATAGACGAAGGATAATAGGAACTAATAAAAGTTATATTCCTTTCAAGAGCTTGAAACACTAGAGCTACTCGCTCCGGTATTATTCGACCCCGATTTGAAACGAACAGATGCGCTGCCTTTCATGCATTTAAATGGTTTGAGTCGGGCTTCAGCACTCAGGTGCAACAAACACTTTTCGAAAGGAATAAGCGCGTAACGTCCCGGAGCTGTTCCGGAGCTCCTCCTAGGTGTGAAAGGAATACAACTAATACTGGATTGCTTATCGGCCTCGTTTTTTATAATCGCAGCCATATTATTGGTGGTTCATCATTTCCGACGTCATTACATAAGCTCTCTCTATGACATGACATAAGTCGTCAACTGTTTGCACTTGTGGTCGTAGTTTAGAATAATTTAAATTAATGAAGAAAATTATTATTTAATTTTAATTAACATAATAGGCGAAGAAGAAGATGGAAACGAGATCTTGTTTTAGAATGTTAATTAATGTAGTAAAACCAAGTATGCATAAAGCAAAAGTACGCAAAAGCAAAAGTTAAATTATGACGTCGGGAATGGTAAAGGTACACGGTTTGTAAGGATAGTACGCGACTGACAACGTAAACGTCGTCATTGGTTCAGGTATGACGTACTCGTACACCCGTCTTCTGATGTGGTGTACGTCATACCTATGGTCATGTACATTGGAGATTTCGGGGGAGTCGTTTCGGCTTTTCAGCCGCTCACCGCTGCTACCTTTGCAGATATTTTGTGCGTGACTCTGCATCTTAATTTTTCTCCAGGAAGCGTAGACTTCTGCCGAAGGAAGCTATTTTCCTGGGTGTTAGTTGGCCCACTTCTTCTGGTGACAGTGTTGCCCCCTCGAGGAATTTGAGCCTCTTGCAGAATTGGGCTGGACATTCGCAGAGCAGGTGCTCTGCGTTTTCTATTGCGTCTGAGCAGAATCTGCAGAGATCGTCTTCCGCTCTGCCCATTAACCTTAAATGGTATTTTACTGGGCAGTGTCCCGTGAGCAGTCCCACCACCATACCTACGGTCATACCTGAACCAATGACGACGTTTACGTTTCCAGTTGTGCGACGCGTACTCTCCTAACAAACCGTACCTTAACACACCAACGTGGCCGATAAGCAATTTTTGTAGATGTCTATCATCCTTGCAAAAGCCCGCGGAATCATAATTCATAACCTGTGGTGCAAACAGCTTACGTCAAGGCGAGAAACGACATACTGCCTCCGTCACAACTGATGATTTGGCGTGATGGGGGGCTTCAGATTTGTTCCATGCAGGCCTCATGAGGATAGGCTATCCTATGGTAGTAGTGTATTATCCTTGGGGATAGACGACTGTGCCCCAGGGCTTGACGCTTCGATTAAGGGTGGGTATTATAAAACTGCTTTGACAGTTAACTTGAAGTTAACTTTTTGAATTACATGTAATTCTAGAAGTTAACTTTAAGTTAACTTTCAAAGTAGTTTTATAATACCCGCCCTAAAAAGAACGGTTGTTTATATTTCAAAATCGTGATCCAGGACTGCTTATTATTTGTATTACTTCCAAGAGTTTAGAACACTGGAGCTACTCGCTCCGGTGTTAGTCGATGCCGATTTGAGAGGAACAGATGCGCTGGCTTTACAGGATTTGGTTTGATTCGGTCTCGAGCACTCAGGTGCAACCATCAGGGTGCAACAAAACCTTTTCGAAAGGAATAAACGTGTAACGCTCCGGAGCTGTTCCGGAGCTCCTCCTAGGTGTGAAAGGAATACAACTATTGAGCTGGTTGTCTGCCATTTCCACGCGACAACTCCCCACTATTTGTGACGTCAGCCGCATACCTCAACTCTTGGCGTAAAATGCATTGTCCGAGTTTAAAACACTAGAGGTCAAAAAAACAAATTTCTAAACACTAAAATCACATTTTCTACATTTAAAATCGACGGAAAAATTACCACAGAAGCACAGCCTGAATCGTAAGCAATCAATCGAGTTCTGCGGCTGACGCTACCACTATTCTTGACCACTATCAGCTGCGACCATAGCAGCTTTCCGGCTGGAGAGTGTGATGCGAAGCTCCTAGAACACTTGGAGATGTGCATTTTGTTTGGGCACCCCGGATGACGTAATAAAAGTTATCAGGCAAGGCAACCAACCTCTATCAAGCAAGCTTGCTTTAGGTGTAAGAGGCTAGGAAATTAGAGCAGCTCGAGAGCGCCAAACTCTGCTCACCCGAACGAATCAAACTGTAAACAAAGTATTTCGGAGTAACTAGGGAGCGCTCAAAGGGTTGCACCTACAAGCGGCTCATGCACCTACTAAAAAATATGTTCTGTTAAAAAGTGCGAATCACTCGGAGCTGCACAGAGTCACTCTTTCTGGTTGAACCCGAACTATAAGGATCTTTCACGACTAACTCCGAGCAATTTTGGAGTCAGATTTGTTGAAAGAGATGTTCACTCTATTTTACATCGGAATGGCACTCGAAATAGTTCACAGCAAGTGCGGGTTGTCGAATATGCGTTTCCGATTGGTAGATTCAGTGCGCACTGAGTGTATTTGCATCCTTTTAATCAACCTATAGAAGAAAAAGACAGAAATAGAAAAAATTGCACTAGTTCCACATTAGATCTACCAATCGGAAACACCATTATGGTGTTTCCGAAAACAGCAGTGCAGCAATACAAAATTACAGGAATCTGTAATCTGTAAAAAAAACTGGAACGCCGCATAGTTATTGACCCATGCGCTAAAAGTAGATTTTGGTTATTTTGGTATTTACATAGACTTAAATACTACGAATAGACGTCCAGTCAAATGGTAAAAATCTGCGACGCTATTTGGAGGCTCGCTATCGAAAGCGAGCCTCCAAATTCAATTCAGGCTTTGGTATTTTAGATGCTGGATACGAGATGGCGCGCATTTCTGTCATAATTCAAATTCGCGCGTTACGCTGTTGCCAATAGTTCTAAAATAACTAGTCCAAAATCATTAAATAGGCCAAACCATACATTAAGACACCAATTTTTTTTATTACTGCATCTTATACTAAATATTATACGCAAATTAATAAATTGTTAATGTTAAGATTTTTTTTTAATATAAATAAATTTCACTTATTTTGTAAATTGTTAAGTTTTCTATTTCTAGTGAAAGCTGAAATGGATTTTTTTTTTAAATGCATTTTGAAAATTAGTTCTTTGAAATCCAAGCAATAATTTATTTCTTCGAAAGTCGCAAATAGCAAAGAGAATTCTTGTCTAGTTTTTTGTCCGTATAAATTTGACAACACCGAAACATCAGAAAAAAGGCGGAATGCGGTTGTCCTGGAAAAAATGACACGCTGCTCGTACACAAGGGTGCTAGCACAGTTTTCTTTGAATTTTTAATACGAGTGGCGCCATCTTATGAATTATTGAGGCATTTTTTGTGCTGCTATTTCCACTGGACGTCTATTCGTAGTATTTAAGTCTATGGTATTTATAATCAATGAAAATCCCTTCTTTTTGAGAAATTCATTAATGCCTTTTCTTTTTTGGAGATCACTTTACCGCACACTATGCGGTAAAGTGCATTTTACCGCATAGTGTGCGGTAAAGTTAACTTAACAGCATAGTATGCGGTAAAGTAGAATACAAAGTGTGCAGTAAAGTGCACTTTACCGCATAGTGTGCGGTAAAGTAGAATTTGATATTTATAATAAAAAATCCTCTCTTTCAGAAAATTGATTTTTGATTATTTCTAAATCTTATCAAATTTCATTAATTAATCTGATTCATTAATTAATTTTATCAATGCCTTTTTTTGGAGATGTAGATGCTCATAGGTAAAATTTTGTACCTAACACATGCGGAAAGTGCTTTTACCGCCCTTAACGGCTTGCGTTCGGTAAAGTATCACTTTCCTCATTTGTTAGGTAAATAACTATTACCTTACCACCCTCAACGGCTTGACCAAACTCCGCTTCGCGTTGGTTGGTCAACTGCGGTTGCATGGGGTAAAGTAGCACTTTCTGCATTTGTTACGAAAAAGGAAAATTGCCTAACTATTACCTAACAGACGCATAGCGTAAAATTATACCCTACGGCCAAGCCCTTAAGGGTGGTAAAGACACTTTCCGCATGTGTTAGAAGTACAAAATTTTACCTGAGCATATCAACATCTCCAATAAAAGGCATTATGGAATTAATACTTAATAAAAGAGTTGAGATTTTTAATTATAAATACTGAAGTGTCCTTTACCAGTTATGCTGTAAAGTAACTTTACCATTAAAGTTACTTTACCGCACGGTAAATGGCTACTTTTCATTTGTCAGAAAGTGCGGTAAAGTACACTTTAGCGAGGTTGACGATAATATACAAAATCACCCTCTAAAGCATCTTTCACATACATTTACCACAGTCCACAAAAGGCATAAATTCCATACTACAACATTTCAAAATTGCGGACTATGCCATGTTAAATATCATGTGGCCCCATGTTGCTAGCCACCAAAATACCCTCAATTTCAGAATTAGGTAGGTACATGTATTTTCAAAAGAAGACAACCAAAATAAATGGGTATCTATTATTAGGCAATGTAAAGTGTAAACAGCAAACAAATCTAAAAATATCATCACCACGCAAATTGTTGGAAACATTTCAAAAGACAAATGTTGTGCTGGTACAAAGTAAAGAAACAAGTTTTTCCTCAAAAATACTTAATTTTTATTAAAGCCTAGTAAAAAAACACATAAAAAAAATGTTTACCCACCCAGCACTCCAAATCAAATAGATTACAATCTGAGGCAATTAACAATAAAATGCAATGAAACTTGAGCTGTAGAGTGCAACTAAAACGTTAAAACACAAAAACAAAAATTTAATCCCCAAACAATTTCTTTCCCAACTCCATAAGTCTATGATTGCGGCAAACCCTCAAAGCTTCGGCTTTTTTCAAAACATCTATCACATTCTCGTTGGCGTCCACAAGATGGCAAAGTAAATCTTCAAAGGCCGATTTAACATTTGGAGGCAGAGTGCCGATTTTAACTTTCCTCAACAATTGCACTATGCCTTCGGCCCAGCCGGATTCCACAATGAACTCGCTGATCCAAGGAATCTGTGAAATAATGCCCGCCAAAGTTTGCATGCCCAAAAACCATAATTCCATTATTTCAATCCAGTGTTCTTTGTAAGCCATCGCTACTACAAGTTCAGTTGGGTCGTTTGATTCATCTATTGTGTAAGCATCCCATAAGAATCTGATTGTGCCTTGTACAAAGCGACAAATTGAAAAATCGTTTTTCTTTACTTTATTTGAAAGTTGTTTGAGTAAAAGTAAACCTAAAACAGCTAGGTTGCCATGTAAAACCAAATTTTCTGAGTTATCTTTTAATTCTGGAAGTGTTTCAAATATAAACTTGAGCAAATTATTAAAAATAGGGCTTGTTTCGACATATTTGGCTTCTAATACAGTCAAGTTCATTAAAACATTGCAATTACTTATCATGGCTAATCTAGAATCTTTAATTTCTTCAAGAATTTCTGGGGTTAAATCTGGTTTTGGTTGGGTAAGTGCTTTGAGCCTTTCTGCTTTAGGTACTGGAGGTCTTTTATAATTGACTATAGTCCAGTGAAATTCAAGAGATTCTACCAAAATAGCATCACCTTTTGCTTTTAGAATGATAGCTCTGGATTCATCTTCAACAGCCAAATGACAAAGGGCAGGCAAAAGTACTCGTAACAAATCCATTTGACCCAAAGGATTATGGTCAACACCTTGTCCAGCTTTTTTAGCTATAAGCTGTGCTTTATAGGAAGCAAAACTATCAAAGGCCATTTCCAACATAAAAGGCAACAGTTGATAAACTTGCTGACGCATTGCAGTGGTTTCTTGTGCAAGCCATGAAGCAAGAACTCTAATTGTTGCAAAAACAAACAATTTGTCTAAGCCTTGAGGTTTGTTTTTATCCTGAAGCACTTTCAATAGCAGATTTATTACTGCAGTAAAGGCACCTTTTAGGGCTGTATAAATATTCTGACGTTCTTTTTGATCCAAATCAACTGTATCTTGTGCCATAAAGTTCAAAGACAATTCCAAAATTATATAGCAAGCAGTTAATAAGGCTTGATTGCTTTGAGTGCCCTTCAAAGACTTTCCATCCAGTTGCATTCTGACTTCGATTGCGGCTAATTGAATCATCAACAAGAAAACTTGTTTACCTTTAGCTTCATCAGTAAAAATCCACTCGACACCCAAAAGTTCCAACATACTAGAAGTTAAAATAAGAGCTGGATTTCTTTGGGCTGCCCCAATTTTACTTTGCAAAATATCACAGAGGCCCTTGTATATACTTTGGGGCCATGTTTCACTAGCTGCACTTTCAGCAACAACTTTTCTGGGACAATTGAAAATAATTGCGTGAAGACAGTCTGCCAATTCAAATTTTCTCTTGTCCTGATCCGTTTCAAAGTCCAGAGCGATTTTGTTCACTAAAGCGTGGAAAGCTTTGGGGTCTTTGGGGTCCCAACTGAGGGCTCCCTTTTTAGCTACAAGTAGCCCCATAATGTTTAAGGCTTCGTCAGACTGGAAACTTGCACTACAGTAAATTTGACTGAGGATATCAATGGCTCCAGCTTGGATAAGGGTTTTTTGGCCAGGCTCGTACAAGGCAAGGCGTTTGAGGCAATTGTAAGCTTCACCAATAGCCATAAGGTTGTCGTCATTTGCACTATCATCTGCTGATTTAACTATGTCCAAAAACACTGGAATTAAATCGAGCATATCTTTTTTGGTGGCCAGTTGTTCTTCCAAGCAAAACGTTGTCAGTATAGTTAAGGCAACGGATTTGTAGATGGATGGAGGACAATCTACTGGAACGTCTTCAGTCAGTAGAAGTCGGCGAAGAAAATCGAAGCCTATGGCTTCGAAAATAGCAACTCTTGCAGCCGGTGTGGCATGTTTTCCATTGACCAATTTGGTGACCATGAACAGGGCCGCAAACTTTTCATTATCGCCAGGCGAATTTTTCAATAGGTTACAACATTTTTGAACAGCTTCTGACACCTCCCCGGCCATGTTTACACTCGAACTTTACGCGTTTATCGTCTTTTTTAATCTTAACTATGGGAACATTGAAAAGAAACTGAAAAACTCTGGTGCGGCGATGTGCGAGTTTATAATTAGAACTGTACGTCTCTCGGAGTTTCTATATTCGGTCATTTCACTGTGGCATATCGTCTTACGTATTTTTAGACTATCCAGTCGTCGACTTGGCTAGGCGGACCTACGGGAAACGGTATTTTCCAGATTCGGGATTTGGATTTTTAAACGTTTTTTGTTCACCTTCGGTTTGTTTTGCTCTTGAGGTTATGTGTGGATTTTAAAAATTAAAAAACACAAGGCTATGACAGCACAGTAGGGATGGGGTGCGGTAGGTATTTATTTGAAAAAAAAAGGCTAAAGAGCTTCAAAGCTGTCCTGTTCATGGCACCTTTATCATTAAAAAATATGAAAAATTACAAATTCTACATTTATTTTATTTTCAAATTTACTCAAACACCTTGTAGTGTAAAAAGGGGACTTGACTTTGGGTCATTTGAAATAGGTACTTATGGTTGAGGCTTCCTTAAAACGTTTGGTGCAAATGGCGATTAAAGACGTCTTTTTTACGTCTGCATTACGTCTGAACGTCTGAGGATGTTCATGAGATGTCTTAAATTCATATCAAAGAAAACTATTTAGTACAACCAGGCCTTAAAGCGAATTGAATGGTTTATGTATTGAAAAGAGATTCAAAGAAGCCTTTTAAGATATCTTGTTAAAGACGTGTTTAGAATGTCCTAGTCCTAAAGACGTCTTCAGGCAGACGTCTGGACTTAGGGACGTCTTTAGGATGTATACAAAATTTTCCCACAGTATTCGTTTCTCATTCAATTGAGATGTTAGGTACCTAGAAGAGAAACCATTCAGAATGCTACATAGTACTTTAGAATTTTGATAAGCATTTTAGAAAGTTCAGAACACTTGAAATTCAATTCAGAATTTGCAAAGGCATTTTATAGTGCTTTGGAACATTTTGGAAATTTCAGAACCCTCAAAACATTCAAAAACTGATTTACAAATTTTAAAAGCATTTTAGAACAATTCAGAAGTTTGAAGCCCATTTAATTTAGGAGCGCCAGAATCTTAGGATTCAGGTTAAAAGTTACAAAACGCCTTTCAGAAGGCTCTTAAGAGCGAATTTATAATTCTGTAGAACTTTAGACGCTTAATCAGCATACAAAACAGTTTAAATCCAAATCAGAATTTTCAGGAGCATTTTGGAACAATTGAAAAACTTCAGAGTTATTTATTTTTAGAACAATTAGGATTGAATTTAGAACTGAAAACCTTTTAGAACTCTTTTTAATTAATTTGAAACACTTTGTGAGCTCTAAAATACTCAAAAATCTGTAAGAATAGTTTAGAAATTACTGAAAAACTTCCAAAATGCTCCAGAACTTTGATTAAAAGGTAATTTCATTCTCAACATGAGCCTGTTATTGTTTTCTATTTTATCGATTCCTTCTCAAGAACTTCTGCGCGACGCGATCAATCCCAGAATAACTGAATTACTTAAACAAGATGATAATATTGGAAATTTAAAAGTAGTTTTTCACAATAATAGCAGGTAGGTAATTCTGGAATAAAACATCTCCAACAGTCTCCCCTAATGCAGCAATTCCTAAATAATGTCTATTCTAAACCTAAATTTTTCACATGTTCATTATGTTTTGGTCCATGCAAACTTTTAGGGAAAATATCAGATATATCTGCAGGCATATAATTTAACTGAATATTATTATTCTCAACTGCATCTCTTATAAAATGATACTTGACATTAATATGTTTAGTACGATTGTGAAACATAGGATTTACTACCAATTTCTGGGCACTTTGATTATCATTGAGATCAAAATTGCATCTTCCAAACCTAAAAGCTCATTTAAAATATATTTAAGAAATATAGCTTCTTTTGTGGCCACTGACAAGGAAACATACTCTGCTTCAGTGCTGGATAAACTTATGCAACTTTGTTTCTTAGCCTCGATCCCCAAGACATTGTCCCTCCAGCCAACTTGAAAACATATCCACTGTATGATTTTCCATCATTAATGTCATTTGCTCAATCTGCATCACAATATCCCCAAATATTATCATTCTTAAAAACCAACTGCCTATCAGGAGTCTCTTTTAGATAACGTAAGATTCTTTTAGCATGTTGAAAATGAACATTTGTATAGCAATTATACTGACTTGAATAATTAATTGCAAAAACTATATCAGGGCGTGAATTTACTGCATGAAACATTAATGACCCAATCAAACATTGATAGGGTATATTTTCATCTGGTGGGTTGTGGGTTATCAGGACGTGAATTTACTGTAAGAAAATTTAAGGACCCAATCAAACATTGATAAGGGTATATTTTCATCTGGTGGGTTAAGTCCTTGTTCTAATTTGAAGTTAGCTTCCATAGGAGTGATAACCGATTTGGCTCGGTCATACCAAATTTGTCTTTTGATCAACTTTTGATCCGACCCAAATCCTTGATTTTAAAATTTTTAGACAAAGTGCCCTTTAAGTTATCTTTTTCGGTATCATTATTCGAAAAAATTAGATCTCTGATGATAATTTTTTTTCCTACGAGCGTGCGCAAAGTAGTACTTTTCCGCACGGATTTCCGGGCTCAAAGTTACACTTTTCCGCACTCAGTGCGGATACAGGCCTTATCCGCACTGAGTGCCGAAAAGTAATTATAATTGTCAAGCAACAATAAGTGCACCTGTCGACTTTGACACATGATGACAAATTTTTCCTCTGTTTCTATATCAGCCAACATCTATACAAACACTAAATATGAATTAACTTTGACACATTGTCAGATTTGTTCTCTATTTACATGCAAAAATCTACAAACTTTCTCATCAAATTTAAACGCTTTAAGATGAACAGCTCTGACGAGGATTTTCTGTTATTTTTTTTTTGTTATTAATTTTTTGATAAATGCATAGGTTCCTTTTAAGTTAATTAAAAATAATTAAACAAATTATCGTTTTTTTTTTTTAAATTTTTGTTATTACCTACCTGATATGAAGCTCGTAGGAAAAATTTTGTTCCTAACACGTGCGCAAAGTGTCTTTTCCGCACGCAAACACGTATCCGAACTCCGCTTCGCGTCGTTCGTATAACTGTGCTTGCGTGCGGAAAAGTAACACTTTGCGCACTTGTTAGGAAAATAACTATAATGTTTCTGATGATAATTTTTTAATGTAAATACAGCTTTCATATTGAGACTTTTTATATCCCAAACGTTCAACTTTCTTGTTCCGCATTCTGGAACTTTGTTCTAGACCATAAATAGCTTTATTCAGTAAACAAACTTTACTTTTGTTAGTAACATATACTACCTCTGGTTCAGTCATAAAAATCTCTTCATTCAAGTCACTATTTAAAAAGGCCATAGTGACATCCATGTGATCTATTTCTAGATCCAAATTTACAGACAATGCAAATAATAAACGAATGGTTGAATTTATTACCACTGGAGAAAATGTTTCTGTATAGTCCTCAACCTCACCATATTTTGAGTATAACCCTTGGCTACAAGACAAGCTTTAAATTTTTTTTCCCCATACACTATCTTTTATTTGATATACCCACTTACACCGTACAATTTTTCTGTCTTTGAGAATGTCCACTAAAGCCCATGCATTATTATCCTACATTGATTGCATTTCTTCATCCATAGCATTCTTCCACTCATCACCATATTCACTAGCTAAGGCTTCTTGCACTGAACAAGGCTCGCTTACTTCTTCCAATGCATAATAGAGTATATGATCAAAGAATAATTTAATTTTCCTAGATCTCTGAGTACATCTAAACTCTTGTTGCATTTGTTCTGGATTCTCTGGTTCGTCTAAGGATTCATTGCTACTATCATTTCCTGTATTTTAACGTTGATAAGCCTTTTTATACTCGAAACTGTCAGTCTAATTTTTAAAAACAGAGAGAGGTTTATCACTAAAAGTCCGCTCCATGCTACAAGACAGTATTTGGATCTTCCTCTTCCAATTCCTACACTTGCTTCAACAGAGAAATCAATAATTTATGAAGGTAAAAAAATGTATAACCACTTGCCAATCGCTATTAGAGAAGAGATATGTTATGAATTGTTTTGGAGGAAAGTAAAGATGCTTCTTGTTGATGGGGCTTACTACACGTTGACTGAATTCTACTGTGATATTTTTTGATTTTTTTAATTGTTGGAAGTATGAAAGTATGTAGTTGTTTTTAATGTGTTCATTTTTACTTTTATTGGTGTGTTCCTCTATTGTCTAATTATATTGTTTCATTTTAAAAAATAGATTATACCTGTGTTATCGTTCGTTTAGCTTTAGTTTAGTATGTAAAAATTGTAATTTCCTTTATTATATTTATATTTTAACAGCTATGTCAATAAGATACTTTTGTCTTGGATAATAAAGCATATTTTGAATTGAATTGAATTGTATTATCATTTTCAGCTTGATCATCAGCAATGACATAATTGATAACTTCTAGTTTAGACTCAACTTGAATTATTTGCTGCTGTGAAATATCAGAAGAAAATGTAGTGTTTCCTCTTAGACCCTGAGATAGAGCCTGTTTAGTGGAGTCATTTTTTTTTGTCTGGCATTTTGAGGGATGAATGTGACTAGTTAGCTGATGAGAAAATAAGTGGTTCTAATGCCTGCCTCCTGTTCGAAACGTCCACAGAATGTTTCGCCGCAAAACTCGATTTCGAACTGTGATTAGCGTCTGGCGATTTTTCAGCGTTATTTTCACAACAAAACCTTTCATTCTCTCGATTGCCAGACAAAAAGTAAACGCGGAAGTTTCTTTTCTTTTCTCTTGGAAGTTGACAGAATGTAAATCAATTTTTTTCTTCTGCAAATTTTCGAACGGGAGGCCGGCATTAAAATCACCCATATTCTCATCAGCTTAGTAGCCACATCAGCCCTCAAAATGCCAGACAAAAAAAATGACTCCACTAAACAGCCCCTATCTCACAGTCTATCTATAAGTATCTTCCAAAAACATCACATCTCTAGATTTTATTATATGACATCCTTTAGTTTTTTCACAGTAGCCAACAAAGATATATTGATCCTCTTAAAATCAAATTTCTTTCGCAAATGATCAGAAATATGCGCATGCACGAAGGCATGCACAATACACACAAAAACTCTGAGGTGTTTTAAATCTACTTTCTCACCTGTCCATTTTTCTTGTGGACTTGAAGCTTGAACACTTTTGTGAGGGGAGCGATTTTTCAAATAAACAGCTGTATTTGCAGCTTCTGCCCACATTTTTTCTTCCAATTTAGCTTGTTGGATAAAACACCTTGCTTTCTCAATTATTGTCCGGTTTGTCCTTTTTGCAACACCATTTTGCTCAGGCGTATATCTTACGGTTAATTGGTGTTCTATACCTTTTGATGTTAAATAATTTTCAAAATAACTATTGACATACTCGGTGCCATTATCGCTTCTAAGTTTCTTTAACTTTCTTCCACTTTGGTTTTCTACCAATACATGAAAGTCTTTAAAAACAGTAAGAACTTCACTTTTTGACTTTAAAAAGTAGACAAAAATCTTCCTCGAGTAATCATCAATCAAAGTGAACATATTATATCTTGTTCCACTCCATGATGAACCGGCATTGGACCACACAAATCAGTTATGGACCAGCTCTAGAAAGTTTTTGCACGCTTGCCACCTGTCTTTTTAAAAGGCTGACGACTTTTTCGGTAAGACCAATGCTACATTGATCACCTTTTTCATCCTTGTAATCATCAATACCAGTAGCCAAACCTAGTCTGAGCAAAGACATACTTATTCAGTGTCCCAGCCTTCGGTGCCATAATTCTTCCATGCTTGCAGTTTTAATCAAATATGTGCATTAATTTGACTAAATCCAGCTGATAAAGCCTATTTTTGTTGGATGCAATAGCTACATTAATTCCTTTAGCTTGGAAATTTTCACTGTCATATATACCTATATCTGGCAGCGTTTATTGTCAAATATTACTGTATGACCTTTTTCCACCATCTTACTCACCGATAGCAGATTGGCTTTTGAATCTGGAACATACATAATGTTAGAAATTACCTTAAGACCATTTTTCGTAAAAACTGTTGTATTCCCAACAATCCCAACACCAATACACTACTCAGTTTTTGGTTATTTGCTGCCAAAATCTACTGTCACCTTTGGTAATAAAATCTCGAAGACACTTCATTATATGACATGCGCGAAGTTGCCCCTGAGTCAACATACCAACTGGATGTATATACCAATTCATCTGATGCTAAGACAGTATGTAGTGCGTTTTCTCGCTTATTTTTTCTATTAGTGTCCTTAGGTTTACCTTTATTCTTTCCATCTTTGTTTTTATCACGAGTGTTATCATTTTCTTTGGTACACTGACTCTTGAAATGACCAAACAGTCCACAGTTAAAGCATTTTACATTTTTCTTGTTAAATTGCTTTTTATACTTGGAATACAATGCTGTCTCAGACTTTTCTTTTCCATATTTGTCCTCTTGGAGAAGCTTAGCCTTGGTAAACCCACTTGTGATTACTGAACTTAAATTTTCAAGTGCCATTACCACATGGATTTTCAAATGAACTACTATACTTCATGCCTAGTATTTTCGCTTTTTTATAATTAAACGTGGCAACATCGCACTTTTACGTCCGAATTCCTTCCGTAGACTCAGAACCGCTGGGCAAACAATAGTTTCATTTACATATGCCTCCATAGTTTCGAAGTTTTCTAGTCTGATCTGATTCGAACTAAACCACGTATTAGGGCTAGCCTTCTAGATAGACCTCTATCTTCACATGCTTTTTCAAGGTTTCCCCATGCTTCTTTTGCTGTGCTTGCTGACCTGTCATGAGGATATGCTGAGGGATTAAGCATCAAATTTCAGCTAAAGCCTTCTGGTTCGAATGTTCTCGTTCTTCCTGTTTTGATTTATCTTCAACAGAAAAACCCCCTATACAACGCCATAAATTTTCATATATCAGAGCCATTTTGATGCCAAATTCCTCATTATTATAATTTTCTCGACCAGTAAGTTTATCAAATCCTAAATGGAGATTTGAAGTCGACTCGCTCATTTTGGTTTCAGTAAATAAATGAAAAAATAACAATGGACTGAATTTTCCGCGATTATTTGCAACACTCTTACTTGAATTTTACGTTTTTCACAGTTTATGCACACGTTTCGTACCTGGGCCCGTAACCTATTGGTAATCTGAAAGAAGTTTGCAGCATTAAACTAAGAAATATTTATTTCAGTGTAAAAAGAACACGAGCAGCGACTACAGAATAATGACTAGAGAATGACAAATTGAATGACATAGTTTTCTACCTATGCCACAAAGTCTGACTTTCTTGAAGATCTTCGAAATAGAATTTTTCACAGATGTCAGTGAATAACGGCGACAATGTTAGCTAATGTACGCAAATGTCTTGAAGAACAAATGTATTTCTGTGTGAAGGTCAATATCCAGACTCGATCATCCATATTGCTTCAGAGCGAATCGATAAAAATAAAAAACAAAAATAGGGTTATGTCGAGAATAAAATTACCTTTTAATCAAGTTGCACCCAACCCCTCTACCGCTTAAAAAAAAATTATGGGCCGGCTCTAGAGGGTAGGGGGATAGAGTGACAGAAACGTAGTTATATGTGATAACATGCCCCCTCAATATTGAATTTGAACGAAAGCTGAAATTATCAGTAAATCTTGTTCTATATAGTAGAAGACTAAAAACCCTGAAAATTTCAGCTCATTTGGACTTACGGTTTCAAAGTTAAAATAGAGTTTTCTATTTTCTGTAATATGTATTTAACTTCATATTAATCAAACAAAATATATCCAAGTCTTAAAATGCGCGTTCAACAAAAATATAATATTATCTACATTCTTTTAATTTCGGGACTATTGTCGAAATCTAACAAGGAGTAAACCGCCAGCCAAATTTGTAGTAGTGAGGACGCACATAAATATTCGAATTTCAAAGGAATATAGAATAAATGAGAATACAAAGGAATACATAAGAATATAATAGGGCATACATAGGAATACATGGGCACAGAATCTAATATTTTCTTTCCTAGATTCGTCTAATGAACGAACTTATGTCACATAATGTTTTATTAAATAGAAGAATAAGAATAACTGTCACTCAGTCGTCTTGGAATGTTAAGTTCAGGTCGTTTAATAATTTATTCTTCTCTTGGGAATAAATTGCTGAACTTCAATTTTTTCCTGTGGGTCTCCATTTCTCTGTTGTAGTTGTTTCACCAATGAAGGTTTTCTTAAAAACTTGTTGCATATCCAGAGGAAGTATCTGGACTTGCTTGACATTCAATGTCTGAATGCTCCACTGAAAATACTTTGTTGAAGCTTCCAAAATAAGAGTGCTAAACACATAAAAAAATGAGAAGGGAATTTTGTGAGTTTTCAATTTTTCACCCTGAAAATTTTAGCCTAATTGGCGTCGCACTTCCCGAGATAACTTATTATTTGGATTAATTTCAAAAAAATTGAATCTTTAAGTCACAAATGGCAGAGTGTTTTTGGAACAACTCTATGAAATTCCCTGTAAATAGGATTCTATGATTTTGAAATTTTCAGAAACAACTTTTTAAAGGCAACTATGAAATCCCAAAATTGTATTTTCACACACAGTTGAGAAGATTCAATTTCAGTATCTAACGAAAAACTGCTGAAGTATCCTGCAAAAGAAAATATTCAGTTGATCCTTTTCAAAGGTTGATTTGAAAAAAATAGCAAAAATTCTAGTGATAAAATGGAAACAGCTGATCAGCAATGACGTATACTGACCACCCACTTGTCTTGTCCTTGTAACTTGTACCATTGAAATATCATATGCAAAAACTAATAAATTTTATAAATAAAATAAAAGTGGGTAGTACTGATCAGTGATGAATTCTGTTTTTCTTTGTGGAATTGGGCACAGGTTGGACAACAATGCTATTTTTAAAATTAAAAACAAATTAAAACATAGTTAGGACAACAAAATAAAGATGTGAGCATAAATATTTGGCTCAATATTGGTTCCATTTATTCGAAAAAAAATGACACTAATAGGACATAAATTTAATAAATACAAAAAAAAATCTATGCAGTTATACTTGGGTATTTATACACCGTGATTTACATAGCATCTAATCCACCTACAAGCTAATACACGGGCTACATAAATCACCCTGTATGGAAAACGTTACACCTACCTACTCTAAAATTAAGAATTACTCGTCAGACTGGCCATCAAAAGCTCCATCTTATGCAAAAAATTCCGCCCCTCCATTTTGTCCAATCGCACGTCCCTGAATTGTCCTCCCAAGTGTTCCCATTTGCGTTCAGTCACCAATCTACTAGGGAAAAAGTCTGTTCTTGGAGAGTGGGCCACAGAGACTTGCATTCCACTAGCTTGGGGCTCGCATCTGATTGCTATAATTCGATCTCCTGTTGGCGATGCTAACAGGCACGACGCTGCGTTTCCTAAAGGCTCTACTGGACCACTACCTTTAATAAAAATAATTTATTAATAAAGCAACTATATTTTTTTAATTAAGGTTCTTACCCAAATGATTTGAATTGCCTAAAGATTGCCACCCCATTGTCTTAGCTAAAGCTTGCACCGCTAAAATTTGATGTTGGTTTATGTGACAAAAAATTAAATCTCTCAATTCTTGCGGTTCGTAACTCATATTCATTACTTTGCCATCTCTAAAAATAAATCACAAAAATAAACAACTTTATACAAACATTAAAATTCTTGCCTGCAAATACATTTGAGACTTTTTTCTCCAACATGTATAACCAAAGGAGTCCTACAAACAGCGTCATATCCATGAGTGGAAATATTAATTTTAACACAACTCTGTGTAGGACTGTTCAAAGTATTCCAATGAGAAGATATCAATGGGTCCTTGAACTCTTTTGCAATAGTATCTAAAACATATTCAGTCCTCATACGCATTATAAAATGCTGAGCTTGCTTGACAATTTGTTCCAATAAGGTTTCTTGTTTAGTCATTTCCAAAAGCTCGTGTCTGTCTGCTGCCATTGGTCCTGCCATCATTCTTTTCTTAGAAGGCCCCAATGGGCCTGTAGCAGGATGAGGAAATGGATGGTGAGTGTTTTTATGGTGCACTTCTCTCAATAATTGATGTAAGGAGTGTTCTAGTACATGATCGTGTTCACTTTTTGATGGCGAAGGCTGTTTATCACTTTTCTAGAATAATTACTAAGTCTAACTTTCTTAAATTTGTACTAAAGTATTACCTTGTCCGCAGAAGTGGAATGACGTAGCGCAATTATTAACTGAATACCAGGCAAAACTGTAGCCATAATTTGATTGCCAACAACCATGTGAGGGATTGGAGCTTGAAGCTGGACAGCTTCTTTGGCTAGCTGATTGAATAGCTCTTTGCAAAAAAGCACATTTTGAGCTGCTTCCAGTTTTTGCTGCCAATGCATGTCTGGGTTGGAAGAAGGAGCTCCTGAACCTAATAGGTTTATATTTGCCGAACAAAGGTCTTCTTGATCTAAGTTGAAGATTTAATTTAATATTTTGGCTTTGAAATAATTGATTATTGCTGACCTTTCTGACAAAGGACTTCAATGTAAGCAACTCCCTGTAGCTCAGAGGGAATAGCTACTTTAAGGGCGCTGCTGGGTTTGGTGGGTTGAGCTCCTCCTGATGTTGGCAAAGGGCTACTGGGTGGTGTGCCTGGTTTATCATCTTCTTCTGCTTTGGTAACCTAAACATTCGAATGAATTACATTGAAATATCTTTTTGTTTGAGTCAACATAATGTTGCCCATTCCTACATCGACTTTATAATAATGAAAGCCTTAAAATATACAATTATTTACCAAATGAAGCAGAAATGCTTCCTACACTGAAACAATTAGAAACAGAAGTTTGAATGATTTTGATTGGACAAATTTTAATAGCTCAAGATAAAGCATATGAGGCTCAATCCCTGGTGCATAAGGGGTTTGAGAACATCGGCTGCCAACTTAAGATCTATGCAATACATTAAAAAGTTCTATAATCAAAATGAAACTTTTATTAATTATTATAAAATATACTGTGAAACTTATAGAAGAGTGGTTAACGTGCAATAAAAATAGAGAATCATGCAAACTTGTAAATGAGTTTAGAGGTAGAAATTCGTCCATGGTTTCCTCAAATCTTAGAGCAAATGATATGAATTCTTTTTACTGTAGCTCATGATTTGTTTAGTAAAATTACATTCTATAAAGAGCCTTCAGATTATCTAAGCAATATATCTGTAGCTGAGATGTTTTTCCTCTATCCAGCAACATGTGTGAAGATTAAAGAAACCTATCTTTAAAAGATTAAAAAATAAGAACTCTTCAGGATGGAATAAAATTTCGCTAAGGATAGTCGAGACGCTTTCAGACTTGGTATTGGATGCACTGGCTGGAGCTATCAATGATTCCTTTGCAACTGGAAAATTTCCATATTAAAAGGACCCTGATTGTTCCATTGTTCAAGGGTGGAGATCGCGACCTACCTTCTAATTTTCGATCCATTGCACTACTTCCTACCCTTTCTAAGATAGTAGAGAAACTTATTCAAGTTAGACTAACATCTTTTCTAACAAAGCATAAACTTCTTAGTGTCACACAATTCGGATTCCAAGCAGAGAAAAGCACAAGTGATGCAATTTTAAACTTTTTGGAGCATCTATATATACCTCGATATATACCTACACTTGAACTCAGGAGAAAAGGCTTTGTGTTTCTTTGTGCTGTCCAAGGCATTTGATTGTGATCATCGAATACTGCTGGGTAAACTTAGTATTTATGGTATGGTATGGAGAAAGCTCTCCAGCGGAATCTGTGAGTATCAGCGTACCTCAGGGCTCCATTCTTGGGCCAATCTTGTTCATGCTTTTATCAATCACATATCTCATCTTCCAATAAGGGGAAGATTTACAGCGTTTGCGGATGATCAGACAATTAATTATTCTTTGGCATGACCAGGAAGTTGACACAAGGGGTGAACCACTAGGGTGAAAATGTGACGCGATCGCGAAAAATAAGAGATTTCACATGATTGCGCGGGATTTCGCGTGATTTCGCAAAAAATGCAAGAGATTTTGCGCGATTTCGAGGAATTTTGTATGATTTCGCGGAATTTTGCATGATTGCAAAGGATTTCTCATGATTGGGCAGGATTTTGCTGAAATGACCAAGCATACCTACTTACCTAAGGAATCTGTAGTAATATTCATTTGACGCTAATGATACATTTTAGGAAAGGAAAACTTCTATTGGTACCTAGTAAATTCGATAAAGAATACAATTCAAATTAAAAAAAAGCCACTATGATTTTCCGAAAAATTAAATACAAAAGTGCTATATGCTAGAAATATCGTCGGATATAACATTTTTGACACTGATGGCACATGCAAATATTATCAATGAGAATTCCATACATCTGTCAAAACTGGTATTTCAACAATAAATTGACATGTTTTGATTGTTGATTTGAACCAATCAGATTGGAATTACGCGATAATTTGCACTAGTGCAAATTATCAGATAATTGCATAGTAACTGGTGCGAAAACTGGTGTTTTGACATTTTTTGACAAAAAATGTAAATTTTTGATTTATGAAATTCTCTCATTAGATACAACTCGTGCAATGGAAATATATTTATAATTTTCGACAAATTTGCCCTCATGCATTTTTAATTGAAAAAGGCACTCGTGCACTACGTGCAATAGGTAGGTACATGAAGATTTGAGTGGCCATCAGTTGTAAGTGATCAAACTGAAGGTGATGATTTTTCAAATACATATCTCTAATTATCATTATCAAAATAAAGAATCGGGCACTTTTGACTTTGGAACCATCACTAAGAGTGATGTAATCAGTGGTATAAGAAACCTAAAACCCAAGAAATCTACCCGCCACTATGAAATATCATCACCATATCAGGGTGTAAAAAAAAGTGTACTGGACTTCTAGGGGTGATACTACTTATAAATATAAGAAAAAAAGTTCCCATGCCTTAAGATGCTCCCTGAAGAAGTTCCAACCCTTCAAATGGTAGATGAAAATAATAAGATTTTCAAGAACAGTGGCAAACTATTTTCCTTGAAATTTGGTATTCTTGCATAAGACATTTCGATGAAAAAGCGAATGGTGATAGTAAAAAAAATCGTAACAGTTTTGAAAGGGTAGTTTCCAGAAGGGTAGAAAGTAGTTACTCACAAAACAAAAAAGCATCTTCCTATTTTCATATGTAGTATCACCCCTCGAACACCCTGTATAAGGGATGTGCAGAACTATTGGCAGAACCCTTGGCTCAAGCCTTGGCTTATCTTTTTGGCATGTCAGTTGAGCAGGAATGCTTTCCAGATGTGTTAAAATTGTCAACTATTTCTTCAATTCATAAAAAAGATGCGAAGAATGACATTCTAAATTATAGTCCTATTAGTTTGTTAAACAGCTTGGCTACAACCTTCGAAAACATTCATTATGAGAAAATATATTATTATGAACTCGATTATGAATGTGTAAAACATAAAATCAGCAGGTTTCAGCATGGTTTTGTGAAGGATAAATCCACTTTAACAAACCTGTGTATACTCTCTGAGCAAATTTCAAAGGCTGTTGGGGCAGGGAGGCAGTTGGATGATCTGTATACGAATCGTGAGAAGGCATTTGATAAGGTGAATCACTGTGTTCTCTTAAATAAATTGGTTGAGTTTGGGATCTCGAGAAAAGCTTGCAATTTGTTGAAATATAAACTTGGCTTGCGCGATTGCTTTTTATATTGTTTATCAAAGACTTACAGGTTACAGAAGGTTTTAGTGTATGACCAAGGAGTTTTTGGTTTGGTTTTTGGTATTTAGGGCATTTTCTACTTTGGACGATTTTTTTACAAATGAATAGCATTATGGTCCAAGGCGGACTTTTACATATTTTATTTGTTTTACTGTAGGTACTTGTTGGTGCTCAATTTGGCTTAAAGCTAGCTGTAATTAGGTCTGTTTCATTTTTCAACTAGTCCTATAATGCATGTGCAATGAATTTCAAGCATGGCTTTGTGAACAAGTACTATGTATTTAGACAAATAAAGCTACTTTTGAATTTGAATTTGTTTTATTTTCTGTATAAACCCTTTTGATGTTGAGGTCTGCTTGAGATTGTTTGACAGTCTGGTGCTGCCAAAACTGGAATATGCAAGCAATATCTGGTCACCTCTATATGAGGTCTGGAGTAAGTCATTGGAAAGAATTCAGAGAAAATTCCTGAAACATATGTTTCTTGCAAGATATAGGTACTATCCTCCACAAGGATACATACAGTCACTGCACCCTGCTAAAACTTTTCAATAGGCTGTATCTAGAAAATAGAAGAAAAAAAATAAATCTGACCCATATGTTCAAAATCTTTAAAAACCAAGTAGAATTCCCAGATTTCCTTGCAAAGTTACCCTTTGCCATTAATGTGGGTGGTACCAGAAAGAAGAAAGTTCGGAAGAAAGTATTCTATTTAAATTTTCTTCAAACAAGCTCCTATAAGGCGTCTTCTATGTATAGTATGTGTAACCTTTTTAATATTTTTGCCAGCGACCTAGACTTGGACCTGCTTAAAAGGCTCCCACTAAAATAATAGATAAACGATTGCATGAGTCTCAGGAACAGGCCGACTGGTAATGGCTACATAAGTTTTCATGTGTTATACTCATTTTGTACTTTTAGATTTGAGTGAGGATTTAAGGTTTGATAAAATTGATTATATTATTAAGGTGTGTCTGTAAATTGCAATTTGCTGTAGATACTGTGGTGAAATAAATAAATAAATAAATAACATTGTTCATTACATGTGTAGATGTTGTATATACATTACATGTGCACTAGGGAATAGAAAACATAAATAATCTCTCTTTACCTCAAAAGTTCCAGTCTGCAAATACTTAGATCCAGCAGTCCTATAGCTCAAATCCCCAATAATTGTGTTGGATACTTTCTTCAGTCTCCAATTTTGCCTGAGCCTCAACAGTTCGATATGAAAATCTGGAGTAGTGCGGTTTCTAGCGGCCTCGTTCTGTGAAGTCTTCAGTTTTTCAGCTCCAGCTAATAGCACGTTAGCGGCACCCCCCAAAGCTTTCTTTCTAGCGTAAATCTGCACCATCGGCTTGGTTTCTAGGGGTTCCTGTTGCACCGGATCTAGCACCATGTACCTTTTGTCTTTTGCTACATTTAGAACGTCGGCTAGGACGCATACTTCTTGATGGGCGTTTCTCAGTTTGTTTCTGACAGAGTCCCACGGCCATAAGGAGGATTGGAAAGCGTCTTTGCTGTCGCTGTCCGATTTAGCTTCCTCTAGGGCTTCTTCTTTTTTTATGTCGGCTTCTGATGTTTTGCTGAAGTCGATTTTTTGGGCATATTTTGCTAAGCTTTCTGAGAGAGTCAATGGACTAAAATAGGTAACATTTATTATAAGATAATAGAAGTAGAAATATGTGAAGTACTAACGGCTGATAGATTTCGACGCCTTCGTAAGTTATTTCTTGGATTTGGTTCTCGATTGGGGCCTCCACTGAAATGTTGACTGTATTGAAAGACATGCTGAATTTTACAATTTGGGAAAAATATCAATAATATTTAACAAGCCGGCTTTTTACATGATAAATATTCTAGTCATTGGAAATAAAAATAGAATAGAAGCTTATTATTTATTTATTTTTTGTGACTTCTGTCAATGTTATGTCTTTCGTCAAAGGCCTATCGGTAACAACGACAGATTAACCCAATCAACAAATTTGGTTTTTTATCTCTCTTTAATGAACGGCATTGAAAAAAGACAAAGTATATCAGCTAGGGATCTGGTTAATTGAACTTTGAACTAGTCAGCTGCTAGTTGTCAAGATCAGATGTCAAATGTCAGGGTGATTTGGCAACAAACACAAACAGAATTAAATTTTAAAATTTGTTTTTCAAATATCTCATATAATTAAAACATAATTGACTTTATTTATTTAATAAATACTTAATAGAAGCATTCGTTGTAAGGATAAGAAAGCCGGAGAGGGTATTAGATAACAATTAGTCAGCACTTTTCACTAATTTGCCTAAAAGGTTTGGAATAATTTTTATCATTATTTGGCTTTTTTGCTAAACTACTAATCAGCTCGAAAAGGGAAAACAGTTAAACGTGGAAAAATGTCGAACAGTGAACTTCGTAGAAGGAAAGTAAGTTGAGCTTTTATACAGTTACTTGAAGTATTTCCATTTCTAGTTTCACTAGATAGCAAAATTTTTCTTCATGTCATTCAGAGCTGAGTTAAGTACCTACTCAGCAAATGTACTTAAGGTTAAGGGTATCAAGTATTTAGGTATTCAATATTTTAGATATTATATTTACAGTAGGTATTTTTTTATTTTTGAATGTAGATCTCGATGTAGATGTTCCTAAAAGTACCTATTAAGTATTTTACCGAGTATTTTACTTAAAGACGCTTAAAGTAAAAAGAAACAGTATAAGTAGCAGTACATATTAACACATTGCATGCTGCGTCGGGCATAACTACTCGACAGTGATGTTTCCATTCAGGTCACGTCGGACATACATGGTGACAATTTGAAAAAAAGGAATCGGGAATATCTCTTAGACAAAAAATACTAGGTATCAGGAAAATCTCAAATATGTATCGGGGGCGGGGGAACCAAAATTAAGCACTTTTTGAGTCACCCCGTCTCACCCCTTAGGGGGTAGCTACCCTAACATATTTTTTTAAAATAAGAACCTAACTTGTGTTGTACATCGTTGGATAGCTCGTTGCTTTCCCTTTATAGTCTTATAGCAAAATCTTAAATTGTACAATTAGTTTTCGAGATAGGTATTGGTGTTTAAAAGTAAGCACATTTTGAAAACTAGTAATTTTTACTATCTTTGAGTAGTGTAAAAAATCAAATCAAAATCTTTATTAACGCATGTAGCATTCACAGATTATAAAAAAAACTTAAAATTTTAAAATAGAACATTTTCGGCTTGTCGATACACGATACATATATAATAGGTACACACATAACAAAAACGACAGGAGCAAGATGACGAACTGACCAATCCATAAATATTAAAATTTAAAAAAATATATAAATAAAATTCAAAACTTAAAAGTGAAAAGTGAAACATACAAAAAACACTTAATACTAAAGTAAAATATCCTTAGATTGCCTACAGAAAGTCTTATAATCACAGTCAAAAATATCAATGTCTTCATTTTTTTGTAACACTAAGTTTGCAATCCTACACATCCTATCTATGGGCATATTAACGCCATAATTGGTCCTATGAAAAGGAAGGCTAAACAACTCTTTCCGACGAGAGGTCCTAGAGGGAATATGAAAGTCAATCTCTGCAAGAAGATCTGGGGTATCTATTATGCCATGCAAAATCTTAAAAAGGGTACAGACATCAAATAATTGTCTTCTATTCTCAAGAGGAGTAAGATTTAAAAGCTTCATTAAGTCATCACAGTTAATATCTTCATAAGGAATACCCATCTTAAGCCCAACCCTCCTAAGAAATTTTCTCTGCACCCTTTCCAAACTCTGCCTGTGTACACTATAATAAGGCTGCCAAACGGAACTAGCATACTCCAACAGTGAACGTACTAAGGCACAGAAGACTTTCTTTAAAGTAAAAATATTATCAATTTCTCTCAGAGTTCGAAAGACAAACCCGAGCATCCTCATTGCTTTGTTTGTGGTTTTTTCAATATGAGTGTTAAATGATAGATCACTCTCTATCCATACGCCGAGGTCTTTAACTAAGGTTTTTCTTTCCAACTCTAAATTATTAATTGAGTAATTAAAAGTGATTGGGTTTTTGATTCTGCTAAATGTGATAACGTTACATTTTTTGACATTTAGCTGAAGATTATTTACTGAACACCATGTGGTAAACAAGTTAAGTTGCTCTTGCAAAGATTGACAGTCCAGCTCATCGATCACAATCTTATAGATCTTAAAGTCATCAGCAAACACACTAAAATCACAGTCCTTGAAAATCAATTTAACATCATTCACAAACAAATTAAAAAGTATGGTTGACAAATGCCCCCCTTGAGGTACCCCTGATGTCACTACAATTTCAGATGATGTAAAATTTTTCATTTTAACAGCCTGTCTTCGGTCTTTCAGGTTGCTTTCGAACCATCTGAAAAGAGAGCCAGAAAGTCCCTCAGCATTTAGCTTGGATAACAAAATTCTGTTATCCACTCTGTCAAATGCCTTCGAGAAGTCAGTATAGATAGCATCCACCTGATACTTATTCTCAAAGGCACCCAACAGAGCCTGCTCATAGGTCAAGAGATTAGTTACAGTGGATCTCCCCTTCCTAAATCCGTCCTGTTCATTAATTATGATCCTATTGATATGAGGAGACAAACTATCAGCAACCAGTGATTCAAATAGTTTAGCAATTAAAGAGATCCTACTAATAGCTCTGTAGTTTTTGACATCAGCTCTGTCACCATCCTTAAAAATAGGTGAAACAAAGGATTTTTTCCAAAAACTCTACCTTACTGAACTCTCTATCATTAAGGGGTTTTTGAGAATATTGAGTTTGAAGTTTTGGACAAAATGTCCACCAAAGTTCCAATTTGAAGTTCAATATCCCGGAAACTTCATAAGTTAAAAAAACCAATTTTGCAGGACTTATAGAGAATTTAATACTCTCTTTATTAATGATGCCTAATTGTAGGCAATTTGGTCAAATATCATTGAAGATATGAGCAATTATTCATGTCAATATTCCGAAAAATGTTCATGGGATTTCTTTTTGGATTTTTTTCTCATAGGAATTTCCAAATGTTACTGTGAAAGCTCGTGTGAAAGTTGCTTCTGACTAATTTGGACTCGATCTATCGATTTAAAAAGTCAGAATCGAGAAAACTCCAAAAATAAAAATTTTCAGTTTTTGGTACTTTTTCCTAAAGGTCTTCGAACATGAATATCTCAGTAACCAAGAGCGGTACCGGGACAAAATCATCTTCAATTGTAGATTGTAGCTGTCAATAAAAGCTTCAAAATGGTAGTTTGCTGAAATCACTAGCATTTTTGAGAAAATCAAGTTTAAAGTTTTGGGCAAAATGTCGTCTAAATTTCAACTTTGAAGCTCAATATCTCAGAAACCTCATAGGTGACAGTAACTTAATTTGCATAGAGAATTTAATACTCTTTTCGATGATGTATAATTGTACGCAATTTTCTCAAATATCATGAGAGATATGAGCAATTATTCATGAGCATGTTTTGGATGTTTTTTCTGATCAAAATTTTCAAATGTAATTGATGTTAGAGTTGTTTCTGACTAATTTGGACTCGCTCTATCGATCTAGGACGTCGAAAAAACCAACTTGAGACGGCAAAAAGGCCAATTTAAAACGTCGAAAACACTTCCAAGATTGAAAAATAATTCAGGGTTTATACTTTAAATGAAATTACCAAAATATGTAGATATTAGGTATCTACCGATAACAGAGATAACAACACTAAATTGTCAATATTTGGAACACAACAACTATTAACAAACTATTGAAAAACTGATGCGACATAAGAAAGGACGTTAGTAAGACGTCGCTAAGACTGTCGTCAGCTAGACGTCTAAAACATGTCTTCAGTATGACTTTATATTTTGGACAAAAGTCGTATGAAACCAGAGTGGTTCAAAATTGGACGTCTTTTTGACGACACACTGGTCATTGTGGTAAGCTGGGTTGTCTTCAAACAGTGAAAATTCAAAAGATACTTGAGTCTACTCAATTTTCCCTAAATTTCTGCCTCGATTTCTGCTTTCCAATTCTCAATTTTTTTTTGTCTAAATGTTTGTCTATTCCCGGCTCTTAAATTGTTTGCTTTGGAATGCCTCCAATCAGAGAAAATTCAAAAGCCTGAAATAGGAAATAATAGCATACTCATTATGTCGGCGATGGTACAAAAGAGCGCAGGTCAAAAGAGCGCATGTCAAAATAGCGCGGACAAAAGAGCGCATGTACAAAAGAGCGCAGGGTCAAAAGAGCGCACTGACAAAAGAGCACTCGGACAAAATAGCGTGGACAAAATAGCGCGGACAAAAGAGCGCACGGCCAAAAGGGCGCATATTTTATAAAATACAAGAACACATGAAACAAAATTGTTTTTAAATGACTGTCGACATTGGGGTATTTGATAACAACAATTTCGAATGGAAATGAAAACTACAAAACTTGAGGAGAAAATCCTAGAAAACGTTAATTGAATTAATATTAATTAGGGAATTGCCGACTTACCCAAACTTACCGATAATAAACCGTCCGCTTAGTGCAATTTAGTTCTCGTAAGTTAGCATTTTATTTGAGAAACAAAACGCGATCAAGGAAAATTATACACTATATCTAAATGAACTTTTTCAAATGAAATGGTAACTTATGAAAATTAGATTGCACTAGGCGGATGGGACTCTGTCATTTGCGCGACGACCGTTTACACAAGGGAGAAAAGCCCGAGGAACAAAAGCGCGACGGAACAAAAACACAAATGGACTAAAGCGCGATGGACAAAAACACGATTGGATAAAAGCGCGAACGACAAAAACAAACTTACTCAAACTGATCTAACCCAAACTAACCCGGCCACCTATTGTGATTTAGTCCTTGTAAGTTAGCATTTTATTTAATAATAATAATAATAAAATAATGAAATAATCGCAACCTGGTGCCTTCCTGGCTTTCAGGCCTCTAGATTTCCTAGGAATTAAGCTTATCCCTGGTTCACGTAGTTTGTCGGCAGATTGATCAAACTCATCCTTATATGGAAGTTCATTTAGGCAAACTTTCCGTTCTAAACTATCTGCGACAGCTTAAGCTTTTACTTTATATCAGAGGCAAACTCATTAAATCTGTGAAATAGTCGAAGATACTTCTGCTTTTTAGAAATTTTCCCTAAATTTCTTCTCTAAATTTCGGAATTTTTCTGTCTGTTCCCGGCTCTTCAATTGTTCCTTCTAAATACATATCTCTTCATAAAGAAAATTCAAGAGCCTGGAAGAGAAACAACATACGTAAGCCTACTTATCTACTCGATTTTCCCTAAATTTCTGCTTTTCAATTCTCAAAGTTTTCTGTCTAAATTTTTGTCTATTGCCGGCTCTTGAATTGTTTATTTCTAAATATCTCTACATAAACAAAATTCAAGAACCTGGAATAGAAACAACATATAGGTACTTAAGTCTACTTATCTGTTCCATTTTCCCTAATGTCTGCCTTTCAATTCTCAAATTTTTGTCTATTCCCGCCGGTTTATTCACTTTCTTATAAACTGTCAAACAAATGTAGGTACCTATTTAAATCCAAAATATAATTTAAATCTCCCTGGTAGTGACTGCTCTGAACCAGTATGTATGCCTACAAGAAGTAGTAAATATACAAGTATTTTTTTAATATTGTATTGATTTTTTTGTATGTATGTAGGTACTCGTCTCTCTTCTTATAAAAGTATCAGATGTACTGAATATTTTTCTCTCGATTTTACTTTAGGTATATTTTTCTAATCAGTAGGTACCTCAGCTCTGATTGCCTATCTGGATTTCATGTTTTTCTTTAATTTGGACCTGCAAGTGCCTATTAGTCTCAAATCTCTACGGATAGTAACAATGTTTATATGGCCAAAACAAACTCTTGAAAATCCATTAGCCTGTTTCGACTACTATAAGAAATCATATGATTATTCAATATTGTCAAGTCATGTTTATGATTTTTTTCCTTATAAAATGTTCATAAAACTGATTACTAAACAGACCATAATTAAAGGGTTCACCAAACTTGAGGAGTATTTGGTTCCAAGTCTTAGTTGAGTGTATTGAAGCATTTTTGTTTTGTTTTAGGTACAAGAACATGAAAAATCATCGACTACAAAGAAGCGCAAATCAAAAAAACCTAAGCCATCTTCAATACAGACACCACTTATATGTCTTATTATAAGTGGCACAATATTAACTGCATTTTTAGGTGAGAATAAGTTATTGGGATAAATCTAACATTCAGGAAAATAAAACCCGCGTAAATTTCAAGTTATGTATTCTATGAACACCTTTATTAAAAAATCAATTTACATTCATTGGAAATTCAGTTTTAGACACTTCACTGTAGTAAAAAGACAATTGTAATGTTCCTCTTATAGTTCTCTACGCAGACCAAATACCATGGCACATAGGAAACCAAGCAATAGACGATTTAGCGAAACGCTTTTTGGGTTACCACAAGCCAATACACGCTGTGGTAATAGACGCCGGCAGTACTGGCTCCCGGGTACTAGCCTATACATTCCACAAGTCATATTTAGGTACAAAATCATTTTAAATTAAAAAAAAAAATCTATAAACAATTCTTGCAGGTGATTCGTTAGTGTTGGATAAAGAATTGTTCGAATACAACAAACCAGGTTTGTCTTCTTTCGCCAAAGAGCCAGAAAAAGGTGCTGCAAAAATAGCGGCCCTGCTGGAGTTGGCCAAAAAAGAAATTCCCCAAGGGTATTGGGGAAAAACTCCGCTAATTCTTAAAGCTACGGCCGGCTTGAGGCTTTTGCCAGCAGAACAAGCTGAAAATTTGTTAAATTCTGTTAAGGAGTTGTTTAAAAGGACACCATTTTTGACTGATGAAAATTCTGTTGAAATTATGGACGGGACTGATGAAGGAATATTTTCTTGGTTCACTGTTAACTTCTTATTAAGTAAGTACACATCAAAACCACAAACTAGTTATTTGATTTTAATTATTTTCAGACAAAATCAATTCAGATCCTGCAAATACAGTTGCAGCACTAGATTTAGGTGGTGGTTCTACACAAGTTACTTTTGCCGCAGTAACTCCATCTAGCCTTCAAGATAAAGAAAACATCCACCAAGCTACATCTCCTAGTGGTTCTATACCAGTTTTTACACACAGTTATTTAGGTTTAGGATTAATGGCTGGACGTAAAGCTGTGATTTCTAATGGTCAAGGAGATAGTGTCAATATAACTTGCAAATGTGTTAATCCTGTGGTTAAAAATAAAAAGTTCCATTATCATGGCACTGATTATTATGTTAGTGGGCTTCAAGAAGGTTATTCTACATCGAAAACAGTTGAAACAGAACATGTGGGTGAAGAAATTCCTGTGGTGGACGTAACTGAGTGTTCTAAAATTATTCAGGATTATGTTGAAGATATTTCAAGTAAACTTAGACCTCCAGAGGAACTGCCTTTAAAAGCTATTTTTGCTTTTAGTTATTATTACGATAAAGCTAGTCAGGCAGGTTTGATTGATTTTGATAAAGGAGGGCAAGTAAAGGTAATTGATTGATTTTGTTTAATAGATTTTAAATAATTTTCTAATGATTTAGGTGGCTGATTTTAAAAAACAAGCTCAAAGGACTTGTCATGAAGCCAACCCTGAACAACCTTTTATTTGTATGGATATGACATTTATATGGTTGTTGTTGGAAAAAGGATTTGGACTTTCTTTAGATACAAGAATTTATGTAAGGTTTTTGAATTGTTTATTTATGAAGCTATATTGTCTATTTTGTAGTTGTACAAGAAAATATCTGGACACGAAATAAGTTGGGCTTTGGGCGCAGCCTATGATGTTTTAAGAAAAAGCAAATCTGTATGATCAGTTTGAAAAATTGACGAAGTTATTTGTGCCTTATTCCATTAATTTATAGTTGAGCGTGAACCAATAGTATTTGGAGCACAAAAAGACAACCCAATTAATTTGTTTTATTTTATTAATAAAATTCTGACCAAAGGATTCAATAGTCATTTTGGCTGTGTAATTTAATAATTCCATTTTTGTTTTTCTATGTTTGTTATTTTGGAGTAAAGCAATATTAGAAAAATGTTGTAGTTTATGTTAATTGAAGTTCTGAAAACACAGTTCTGTGTCGCTGGTTAAATGTTCCATCAAACCATGGTACATAACAGTATTTAGGAGCTGTTCAGCATGTAATCTTTGGTCGTCGCTCATATCTCTCAGTTTCATTGCCACATTTTTGCCTATAATGTCATAAATATCATCTTGATCATTTTCCAAATGAGTTGTTTCATTTTCTTGTTCAACCTGGTCTTCACAATCAGGCGTCTGTTTCAATAAAATAAGTGATTAAAGTGCAGGGTGAAATAATGTTTAACTTACCATAGTTTCTTCTAAATCATCATCATCTTCATTTTCTGAGCTGATTTGTTCCACTTTTTGATTAACGGACATTGGAGAATCTTTCAAAAACAGTAATAAATCGTAACACCACAAACTGGATAACATCTTTGCCCTTTTGTCCACTTTCCTTCTACACTCTCTTCTAAATTGTTGCTTTAAAGTATTAATTTTTAATTTAACTTCAAGCATCGCAAAATTACTTTCTATTGCCGCATTAAGCTCGTTTGTTATATCGTCGTAGGCCTTAACGCGTTTACTTTTATTACCCTTCATGGTACATTCATTTGTATATAGGATTGGGTATTTTCTTAGCAGATCGATTAGGATTACTGTGTTTGGTTTTGTCCAGGCATAGAGGTTTCTCTAGAAAAAAAAATGTTTTTCTTAAATGATTCTAGTTAATGAAAAAATTCCTCGAATACACTTACACTATTATCTTTAAACTCTTCTATTTCATCACCTTTGTATTGTTCTCCAACAAGAAATAGAAGGTGGTTGTAATACCATAGGGCAGGAACATAAATATCTCCATCATGTTTAGCTTTTCTCTTAGACTCTGTTACCTTGAATACAAAGAGAATAAGCAAAATTCTACATAGACAGCACATAAAGTCTGAAAGACGTCTTTTTCAGGTCTACATTACGTCTGAGGACCAAAAAAAGGCACCTAGAAGATTTACATAAGGTGTCGTAAATGCACATCTTAAAGACAACTTTTTGGCACAAACATGCCTAAAATATGAATAGTATTAAAAGGAGATTATGAGACATCTTGTTGATGACTTCTTTAGAATGTGTTAGTGCTAAAAGAAGTATTTAGGCAGACCTTTGTAAGATGCTGAAGTTGTGTGTGTGTGTGTTTTGAAGATGTAAGCAAGACGTCTTGAATGTCGTTTTTGGACATCTTTAAGATGTCTACAAAAACTTCCCACAGAATCTCTGTTTCTCATTCAATTTAAAAGTTACTGGAAACCATTTAGAATGCACTTTAGAACTTTAATAAGCCTTTTGGAACAGTTAAAATTCAATTCAAAATTTCCAAAAGCATTCTGTAACGCTGTAGAACATTTTGGAAATTTTAGAACCATTTTAGAATGCTCCAAAACATTCAAAAACCGATTTACAATTATTTCCAAAAGCATTTTAGAACAATTCAGAAGTTTGAAACCCATTTTAGGGTGATCCAAAACACTCAAACACTCTAGAATCTCCAGAAATACTTTGAAAAGCACAAGAATCTTAGGATTCAAGATTACAAAACCCCTTTCAGAAGGCTTTTAGTAGCGAACTTAGATTGCTGTGTGTGGAACTTTAGAACTTTAATAGGAATCCAGAACAATCCAAATCAGAATTTTCAGGAGCATGTTGGAAAAGTTTAGAAACTTTAGAGTTATTTTACAATAATTAGGATTCAATTTAGAACTGCAAACCTTTTAGAACTCTATTGAACCAATTTAGAATATTTTGGAGCTTCGATAAGGCTCTAAAATACTTAAAAATCTGTCAGAACAATTTAGTTATTACAAGTTACTGAAAAACTTCTAAAATGCTCCAGAACTCTTCAAGTTAGAACACTTTAGAATTTCAATAAGCCATTTAGAACACTTTCAGCGACATTTTGAACAATTTAAAAACCTCGGAATTATTTCAGAGAGACTATCGCCTGGAACAGACAAAAATTGAAAGTTATAATCAAGGTCTGTTCCAAAACCGAACAGTTTTGAAGCCACTTATACGATTTTCGGATTCTAGGCTTTGTGCAGCATCTTGACGGTACTTTGTACAGTTTTCTGCTTTGTTGGAACAAAGCTAAAATATTTTTTTTTTTTTTAATTTAATTCTAATTTGATTTTCCTTCTAGACTTATAGATTGATTTTGAACTTCTCAGAACAACTTCCAGATTCAAAATTCAAATTAGGAACAATTGTTTTTAATATTATATTGTTCCATTTTGTTGTGAAAGTTTTAAATGGGATAAATTTGAAAGCAAAAAGGGCCTTTTACACGAGTTTCCAGACTTTAAAATTGGAAATTTAGAATTTTCCGCCCTATTTTATTTGAATTTTTGTCTATTACAGGCTCTTGAGTTGATTTTTATTCATGAATTTTGAGCTTAATTATATTTAAATTGCCAGCTTCCCAGTTGCAAAACGATTCAAGCTGGATTGAAATTATTTATTTGTAAAGAATTTGCTTGGCTTTAATTGAAGCCTAATTACATCAAGATCGGATTGAAATTAGCAAAGTTGCGGGGCAAAATGTATGTAAGTGCCATTTTCCTGATAAAAATCATAGTCAAAAGACTTTGAAGCTTTGCAGCTGCAAAACTATTGAAGCTGAATTGAAATCATTCACAGTAGTAGATTTGTAGAGAATTTAATTGGCTTCAACTGAAGCCAAATTATGTTAAGATCAGATTGAAATTAACAAAAGGTTTGTTTCTGTAGAAATCACAAACCAGTCGGAGTGAATCTTATTGGTTGAAACTAGTTTTCTGACTGTTTTTGACTGTTTTCAACCAATTAAATTCGCTATGACTGGTTTTTGATTTCTGCAAAACAGACCTATTGTTGTGAGGCAAAATATATGTTAGTGTCATTTTCCTGATAAAAATCATAGTCAGAAGAATTTAAAGCTTTGCAGCTGCAAAATGATTGAAGCTGGATCAAAATTATTCATTGAAGATTTGTAGAGAATTTAATTGGCTTTATAATTGAAGCCCAATTTCCGAGCCAATTAGGTTCAGATAGGATTGAAATTAACAAAGTTAATTGTGAGGTAAAGGTAAAATGTAGGTATGTAGTGTCATTTCCTGATAAAAATCATAGTCAAAAGATTTTGAAGCTTTGCAGCTGCAAAACTATTGAAGCTGAATAGATAAATGATAGATCACAACAAACTTGAAAGTAAAGCTCTAATTGATAAGAAACAAACCTTTTTGTGTTCTCTTCTAAATCCTCCCTTTATGTTTTCAAGTTTTCCCTTTACAAAATCCATATTTGCATCAGGGAAAAATTCGCACGCCACCTCCAGTAAATTGTTCATTGCCTTTTCCCTGCTCTCTCTGGATTTGTAATTTGGATCTTCCTTCTTCCATAAAGCAGGGTTTGCTTCATAGGATTTAATTAGTTTTCTTATGAAATTTTCGTAGATTTGTTGTTGAGATTGCTTTTCCATTATTTTATTTGTTTGGTTTGTTTTTTCGAACAAATAAAAATTGTTTTCATTGTTGATAATACCTACATTTTGCAAAGAAAACCACAACAAACTACTAACCTAAGTAAATTCATAAAGGTCAATGACATACACTTTTGTACCTATTTGGCTTTCATTAGGGCCTGATTAAATTAAAATCCATCAAAATTAATATAATTTTCTTACAAAAATAGCTCCAAATCGTTTTCAAACAATTTCGCGCTTATACAACTAGGGGATTCACAAATCCTAAAAATGTAGAATGTCCTGACCTTCCTGACAAGTCTCAAATAATCGATTGTAGCTTCGTTAGTTTTTGATAAAGCGGTGAAACTTTCAGCTTTTTGAAAAGAGGATTAAATGCTCTTTAAAATGGCATAAGATATGCTATAATAGCTTCAGTAGTTTTCGAGATATTGATCATGATAAACTTGAAACTGGTATTAAATTATAAACTTCTGTTTCTGGTAGGATAGGCATGTATGTCTTCATGAGTTGAAAACAGATGAGTATTGCTCTTTATATAGAGCAAATTTTCTAGAATGTATAGAGAAGGCAGGGCAAGTATTCCTAGCTGATTGGACAGCCGCCCTACAGTCATACCCAAACCGCTCAGCACCCTGCCTTTCTCTGCAATCCAATATAACAGAGGCTGAGCACCTGAGGCATGACCCCATATAAGTACAAACTAGGAAAGTTTTGACTGAAAAATTGCAAAATAAGCAGTTCTTAGTACCATTGGGGACACATTTTCTGCAAGACGGTGTAGCAGATACAAATTTCTGTTAGCCTCAATGTGTATACCCGACTATGCTTCTGGGTCAATAAGAACCCCAAAGGAACCTAGCTTGAGGAACTTGGTCGTCATCTGTCACGTGAAAAATTAAACGAAACAAATTCTGTACGGTGCACTCACATCTTCATCGAACACGGCCCGGTCATGTATGGACCGATATATTTATTTCAATGGTTTATAACGTTCTCCGGAAACTCGTTTAAGGCTCAGTCCTGACACGACACGCTTATGTGTGTCTAGACCTTTAAGCATATAAAAAATGGATAAGTAAATATTAATTAGCATGGCAATTGGTTAATATAACTAGTTTCCAACAAGGATTTGTAATAAAACAATTCAATCATAATCATAGTATATTTTCTGTTTATTCAACCACCAAATACATCTTAAACTTAATTTAGTATAATATTTTATTCTCGCTGAGGATAATTCTGATATATCTGCCTGGACTGCGTCGTGTACAGAGAGGCCGGAGCTGCTTGCTGATGGTACTGCTGAGTCCTGACTGGATAACCTGCTGTAATACTGCCACCTATGAATATAAATAATTAATTAGTCTAATTGTAACTCTAGAGAGTTTTACTTCTTTAGTCAAATTGAGTTCAAGATAGTGTTGTAAAATTCTCGGTAATTTTCGAACGTTACCGAACTTTCGGGAATGTTTGAGAATTTTCGAGAATTTATGAGAACTTTGGAGAATGTTGCAAAAGCACCTATAAATTCGGCTTTTTAATTTAGGGCTTGTGAAAATGTCTATTAATAATAAAGTTTCATTAAATTTCCCTATGTTTCTTTTCTCTGGTCGGGGTAAGTGAATTTTCCATAAATGTAGATATAACCCTTGTCTATGTATTATTAATTTATTGAAAAGAAAATGATAATATTTATGAAACTAGAAACAAGTCTTGTTTCTTGTAAGTTGGTGTAATAAAAAACAAACTGAAAAACAAGGTAGATGTAGGTAGCAGTGGTAGCACCACAAAATAAAACACAAAAATCTTTAAATGCAAATACCTATATAACATAACTACATAAAGTGTTAAGTCATTTAAGAGGAAACACATTGTTTAACCATGATTTTCGTAGAACCAATTATGGTTACCATTCACCTTTACTTAGAAGCTGTCGTTCTCTGAATGATATTATTTTGAAGACTGATTTGGATGTTTTTAACATAAGTTTGGATAGATTCAAAAGAATTTTAAAGTCGATCCTAAAATGATCGTTTTTTCTATTTGTATTCAATTTTAAGCGTATTATGTTGTTTATGTTTTGATACCTACTACAAAATATTTGTTTAGGCTTATGTAATATTGTTTTTTTATACTAACTTGTCTGTTGCCTACTTGTTATTCCAAATATTTATTATTGCGTGTACCTACACTTTAAGTCTACCTTTGTAAAAATGGCATGTCCGTAAATAAAGAATTTATTTATTTATTTAAGTCAAAACAAAAAATAATATAAAAAAATAAATTTAAAAATAAAAATAGGAACTCTAGAAAAAGGAACTATAAAATGACCTTTCTGTAGGTAATGGTAATAACACAAGTAGTTATAAAATAAAAAAAATATTACTAAAAATATTCAGAAATCAGGGTCCATGTCCATGAATAGTTAAATCAAACGATTAGTTAACGTTTAGAAATGCATTTTCAGCGAACTTTTGCTTAGAGAGGAGCGAACATTACCGTAAATTACGGTAATAGTGCGAACTTTCGCTCGGTAAAGTTCGCTTGTTACAACACTAGTTCAAGAAGGATCTAAAATGCATTTGCTCAACTTATTTTAGAATTATCAGAAAGTGGAGTCAAGGAGTTTCAGTTCAAGAGGGGCCAAATTTTCATGGTCAGAAATGAGAGTTTGCTTCTCTAGGAGAGCCCAGAATAAGACTTTCTCGCATCTTATTTGAATTTCAGCTCTATATGAGACAAAAGTGATCCTAGCTCTAGAATGGTCAAAAATCAGAATTTATTGTTCTAGGAGCTAGAGCCGGTAATAGGAAGAAATATTTACCAATTACATGTAAGAAAAGTTACTTTTTCTCAATATTTTGAGTGTACTGCTTAATCTGCTTATACTAGTAAGTACCTCCTATATTATAAGAATGAAGAGATGTCACTCCTTGATAGAAATTTGTCAAGATAGAATAAAACGAATTTGATATTTTGATTAAGTCAATTTCCTTAACGAATAAATTATGCTCAATCATAGACTCAAATTACCTTTAGGTTGTGCTTGTGCAGGATTTATCGTCAATCCAGGCCCTGGATGGATAACGTGGCCATGTTGACTAGTGGCAGTCCTCAAAGTGGTATAATGCTCCGGCAATTTGTGCTCAATTGGAAATCCCTGAGGTCTTTGCTGGTCATAAACCGGACGCACGGTTTCTCTAGCCAAACCCGGATAGTAGATCGAAATGTCTTGCGGTGCCACAGGATAGAAAGCCGAAGGTTGATTGGAGTATTGTGGGGCCTCTAAACAAAAATTGATGTAAATAAATTATCAACAGTCAAATTAAAACTCACTGTTCCACAATACAGCTCGGACTAATTCGTTGCGTCTACCATCATCTTCTGCAAATAACACCCTGTTGAAACACATGCTCCAAAAAAAATTAACCAGACAACTTACTTTGCGGTGAGGCTTGATAAGAGCCACCACTCACACCTTGAGGCTTATAAGCTGCGTAGCCTTGATGGTACAAAGACACTGGTACTTGGGGCGGAGGGCTAGGGCTTCTCGGTCGTTTAATGGCAGTTTTATAAGCTGCGGGCATCTGAGGTGGTGCCTGTATTGTCTGAATACGACCAGGAGGTAAGGGTTGTTGTACGTAAACCGTTTGAGGCTGATGGGGCATCAAACCTTGTTGTTGCAACGATTGGATCTGGACCATTTGTTGTTGTTGTTCACTGGAAACGATTTAAGATTAATAATTATAGCAATTGAGGTTTCAATGTGATACTTACTTGGCATCTCTTTGTTGAAGTTGCCTTCTTCTGTGGTCGTCTTCGTTTAAAACTCTTTTGAGTTGGAGAAATAGTTGGTGTTTTTCTTCTTTGAACATTTGAAGCTTGGCTTCTAGTTGAGATATTTGTTCGCGGGTTTCTCCCAGAGTCATTACATCTTGTTGCTCTCTTGCTTCTCTTTCTTTGCGGCGCCTGTGTAAAAATATTAATTTGAGGTGCTAGCTAGAATTGAATTTTATTCAAACACTTGCCCAAGCACTTGCCATTTTAAAGTACAATAATTCCTCTTCTAAGTAGTAGCAAACTTATAATCTAGGTATATGTATAACCAATAAATCATATTGTAGCACACATCTACAGCAAGAACTCTCTAGCATCAAAGCTAACTATGATCGGGTCATGGGCAATCTGTCATCCACAATCAGCTCTTTCATTCCATTCAAACTGAAGATTGTCAATCCCCAGAAGCCAAGAAATTTTTAAACCCATTAAAAAGGGAGAATTTTTTTGCACAAGAAATTGAAAAGCAACTCTGAAAATGACAAATTCAACTACAGGAACCAGAATAACTTCCTCAAAGCCAAGATAAAACACTCTAGAAGGAAATATGACCAAGAATTGCAAGCCTCTTGCGATAAGCAGTTTTATTCCTACATAAACAAATCTCTTGGTTCAAGGCATTTCTCACTTAAGGATGTAACCACTAACTGCACGCTTAATGATAAGAAAGAAGTTACCAATTTGTTTAAAAACAGTTTCAGATTGTTTTTACGAGAGAAGATCTAAGCCATATGCCCAACTGATATATGCTGTGCTGATTCACTTGAAATTGTAACTTTTACATCTGAGAAATTGGAGACTGCACTCAAATCACTGAAGCCAGATTCTAGTCCAGGAGAGGATGAAATCCCTGCCATTTTCCTGAACAAGTGTGCTGCAGTTCTGTCACGTCCCCTCTGAGATGACTTGATTTTTGCCTGGAAATGGAATCATCCCATCTTCCCCACACCTGCTTAACTTACTAAGATTCATGACTGGGCAAGGGTAGATGACTCTGGCCAGTCTGTTGATGTATCTTACCAAGATTTTGGGAGTTGATATATTTGTTGATCATATTAATTCAATAACAGTCAAAAGTTCAAAGATGTTGGGATTTATTGTAAGAAACGCGACCTTTTTCTCAGTCGATGCGACTAGAATAGTGTTTTGTTCCTTAGTGAGAACTATTTTAGAGTACTGTTCGCCTGTGGTCTCAATTTTTCCAAATTCATTCTAACTCTCTGGAAAGGGTTCAGCATAAGTTTTTAAGAGTATGTGCATTTTGATCTAATATTTCGATTGTAGACCATGACTATAGTATTGTGGAAACGTTATTCAGGTTGCCTACTTTAAGTGCAAGAGATTTCTTTGTTTTAAGCCAAATTAGTCTAAATGTTCCTTATAGCCCAAGAAATTTATACCTGGGCTGCAAAAATTTTTGAGAGGGCAGGCTGATTTTTCCAGGGCTGATTGGGGAGTGAGTCCTGAGTATTGAGCCAAAAAATCATACTTGAAAGCCTTGTGCGTTCAGCCCTATTGGCCTTTTTCTTTTTTTTTTTTTTCGACAAAATGACCTTCACAAAACTTGTAGATAATTACATTTTGATCTTGAAGGATTTTGACGTAGTTTGAGGCTCTGAAGCAGCAAAGTGGAGGTCATCAGGAAACGCCTACTTTGCGAGCACAAATCTAATCGACAAAGTCTACTTTCTAGGCAGATTGTAGAAAAAAAAAAACATTTTGTCACTTTTCAGACAGGTAACAGGTCCCAGTATTGTCAAAAAAAACATCATTTCGATTTCACGCTTTCACTCCGGGAAAATGATTTCACTGGATTAGTGATGTAATGTATCATTTCCTGGACTGAAACCGATAACGAAATGAAGTACATTACCAGAAATTTTATTAAAGTTACAATAATCTGCAGGTTTGCTATTTAATTTTTTTGTGAATTCTGGAGCACTAAAATGGCCGCAACGCCTAAGCTAAAATAGCTAGCAAAAAAGGCATGATGCAAAGTTGATCAGAATGTAATTATCTACAAGTTTTGTTAAGGTAATATTGTCGAAAAAAAATAAATAAGAAAAAGGCCAATAGGGCCGAACACACAAGGCATTCGAGTGTGATTTTTTGGCTCAATACTCAGGACACAGTCTCCAATCAGCCCTGAAAAAATCAGCCTTTCCTCGTAAATTTTTTTGAAAAACCCATAAATTTCTTGGGCTATTATTATACAGGGTGAGTTTTTTAAAGTGTTACAATGCGATATATCAAAAACAGCTGCAAATTTTTCTTTGACATTTTGGTGACGTAATAAGTATACGGGGGGACACATTTTACGATATTTTTGACATTTGCCCCTTCACTCTCTTGAGAGGAGTGGGGGGTCATTTTCTTATTTTAAATGGAAAGATGTGTTTTTTATTTTGAAATACGATTCTACATACAAAATGGAGTCTGTCCACAAATTATTTTTCAAATTGTTCAACTAATTATGGAATTATGACTAAAAAGATAACTACAATAAAAAAAATTCTTATCGCCTAATTTTTAATTATCTATCGTCTATTATGCCTAAGAAGTTGATCAAAATTACTGCCTTCGACTTCCAAACATTTTCTTATTCTTTCCCGGGATGAATTTCGTACTCGTTGTAACATTGCTGGAGTCACCAATAAACATGCAGAACGAATTCTGTTTTTCATGTTCTCTGGATTCGTAGAAGTCGTAGGAGCAGTAGCCATTACTTTATCCTTTTATAAATCCTAATAAAAAAAATCGAGGGGGTCCAAACTGAATAGGAACTGATAAAAAATGATTTGAATCTTGCAATTATTAAAAAAAGCTGCATCAGAAAAAATACAATTATTCAAAAATTGGTAATTTTTGCGCATTTTTCTGATGAAGCTTCTTTCGATAATTGTGGCCAGGCCAGGTAAGATTCAAATTATTTTTTACTAGTTCATATGCAGTTTTTGTTGTTTGTCTTTCCGAAGGTGAACAGACACAATATGCATTACTGGGCGGCGAATAATCCTCACTGGATGAGAACTGTACCAAATCAACATCCCTGGTCTATCAACGTATGGTGTGGTATTTTCAAAGATAGAGTTATTGGCCCGCATTTTTTTCAAGGTCATTTAGATGGACAGGTGTACAAAGTTTTTTTAAGAAATCAGTTACCTAGATTACTGAACCAGAATATTAATCCAGACGTATGGTTTCAGCGCGACGGAGATCCATCCCACTATGCCATACAGGCCCGTAATCGTTTGAATAGATTATTTGGAAATAGGTGGATTGGTCGGGGTGGTCCTGTCAACGTGCCTGCTCGTTCGCCAGATTTGACCCCGCTTGATTTTTTTTTATGGGGATTTGGATAAAGTGATTGCTACTGCTCCTACGACTCCAGAGAACATGAAAAACAGAATTCGTTCTGCATGTTTATTGGTGACTCCGGCAATGTTACGACGAGTACGAAATTCATTCCGGGAAAGAATAAGGAAATGTTTGGAAGTCCAGGGCTGTCATTTTGAACAACTTCTTAGGCCTAATAGACGATAGATAATTAAAAATGAGGCGATAAGAATTTTTTTTATTGCAGTTACCTTTTTAGTCATAATTCCATATTTAGTTGAACAATTTGAAAAATAATTTGTGAACAGACTCCATTTTGTATGTAGAATCGTATTTCAGAATAAAAAACACACCTTTCCATCTAAAATAAGAAAATGACCCCCCACTCCTCTCAAGAGAGTGAAGGGGCAAATGTCAAAAATATCGTAAAATGTGTCCCCCCCGTGTACTTATTACGTCACCAAAATGTCAAAAAAAAATTGCAGCTGTTTTTGACATATCGCATTGTAACACTTTAAAAAACTCACCCTGTATAAGTATCAGGCATCATTCTAGTTTTAATATTTCTTTTCATAGAACATCATAATATGGTATTTACTCGGCCATATAAAGATAAATAATCTAGATTTAGACATTTTTAAGGTATCCTTGTCTTAGTTTAAAATTTGTTACAAAAATAGGCTTCTTGTACAGGGTGTTTTTTTATATATTGACTACCCTACCTACAGCCTTCACTTTTACAAGTACCTAGATGAAAGGTTTAAATACAGAAGTTGTACAGTATTGGCTAAATTTTTAGAATCCATGGTCAAAAACAAAAATCGAATGTCAGAAATGTAAAATGTTGCATGCTTTCAGCTTTTTTCAAATGGGATGCCCTATATTTGGTTCTATATTCTTGAAGAGCACAATTTCCCGATTCCAAAACTATACATATAGTTTGTCTATATTTAGTTGAGTTATCTCCAACATATTTGGTTCTAGAAATTTTAAAAATACTATCAGAGAAACCAAATACAGTCATGAGCATAAAAAGTGGGACACTCGTTTTTGCCTATTGTAAAACGAGCTCATCAACTATACGCGAAAGTTCGGGTGCGAAAAAAAAAGTCGGTTCTAGAGCGGTTCGAAACAATCGCACAGTTTATAATTGTGATAGCCGAGCCGATTGTCATTTCGTTGATTGATAAACTGTGCGATTGTTTTGAACCGTTCTAGAACCTTCTTTTTCGCAAATTTAGACATAACAAATAAATGTTTTTGTCCAAGAATAAACCCCTTTTCCGTAAAAAATATACAACTGCTTGAACTAACTGTATAAATGTACGGTATTCCAATCGAGCTAAGGAACTTTTGGAGAACATAACTGAAATAGGACTTTTCCAAAAAACTGATGAATCTGTGCCTGATATATAGTATTTTTAATATCTATTTGGACCCCATCCTTATTTATCAATCATGATTCAGATGAAACCAAAAATTACCAAATATAAGTATGTACTACAAAAAAACGCAGTATACCTGTTTTATATTGGGGGCAGGTTGAAAAAAAACTCTAAAAGCAAAGTTGAAGAAAAATTTACCTTCAATTTCTAGAATAGATTCCTGGATACTGAAAATGAGGCTCTACGAGAAGGAGGATTTGATTTCAAAGGCTTATTGAAACACTTTAATTGATTGAGGTTTAATAAAAATTATTTGGATATCCAGAGAAGGCACTCGAGTAATTGGCAAAATAGAATATGACAGCAAAATCTTATAATGTTATAGGATCTCTTTTATCATTAGGAAATATTTGTAAATAAAATTGTATGTAAATAAGTTAGCACCACCTTATTTTGAACAGTTTGTTGTTTTTAATAAGGATATCCATGATAACCCTACAAGGAATAATGATCATCTCTTTATTCCAAAAACAAATTTTAAAAGTACAATGAACTCATTGTTTTTTAAGGGCATTCAGGAATTTAACAATCTTCCAAATGATATCAAGGGCCTTCCCTTAGGTCAGCGTTTCAAAGATGGGCTGAGGGATTACATTCAGGCTAAAGTTTAATTAAACTACTATTGCATTCACAATCTTGATATGAGTGGATGAACCAGAGTAATGTGCAGCTATCTTTGTAAGGTTTTTACTTGTATTTTGCAGATAGTTACTTGTATGTCTAATAGGCATTTTTTCTTACATTGTATTTGTGTGTATATTAGGTGTACCAACCTACTTGATAAAGATATATTTCATTTCATGGCCTGCGTCTACAAGGTATGTTTCCCGTTTCCTGTCACTTCTGCTGCTGCTGAAGCAATCAAGGCATATATTCAAACTGAAGTACCTACAAGCTGTATATGCCTATGTAATAATGGTTCAACCGTTACATGCTGAGGTATTGACATATTGCCTGTCCTTATTCGTAACTGATAATTCATTTACTACTGAGCAGGTCTCTTGATATGGGAATGGATGGGGGAGGAAGCTAAGAAATTTGGCATCACAATTAATTCTGGGATTTTTTTCAGACGGCGATACTCGCCATCTAAAAGATATGTGCTTAAATACCGATTCTTGTTTAGCTCTTGAATAAAAAGAAAAAAACAAACCAATCCCAAAAGTCCATTCTTTGCCAGTTCCAGATTATGGAAGTGGTACCACTGCAGCATTGAAAAAATGCAGAATGAAATAAATAATACACCACAGAAATTTCAATAAAAATGCGTACTCGTTTCCTAAATCCTGGAATACCAGAAAAAAAGTCACTATGTAAAGAAGAAATTCTCAATTCGGATATAAAAGCTACAGTTGAAAAAACAAAATGTCATAGAGGATACGAGACGAGACAGTTCGGTATCTCGTCCAGTTGACAAAAACCCTGAAGAAAAAAACACAAATAATATTAGTAAGTAATGATGGACTTAATTTAAAATTTATTTTTTTTTTCATCATTAAAAAGTCATTGTGCTGCTGGCTTTTAGATCAGTCTAACTAACGGTAGCGAGAACGGTAGAGTAAATACTGACCAATTAAAAAGATTGATAGGCAGTATAAGGAAAACACGTCGGAAAACTTCGATGAAATCACCTTCCAAAAATTTCGACCTTGACTATGAAAATGACTAAACCACTGACACCCACTGACTAATTTTATTTTAATTTAACATGTAATAGTGCAAACATCTAGATCTCCATCTAGATATTCTTGATTTATTCTACACCATTTTGTGACCAAATCTTTGAGATAGATTTAGTGAATTAGTAGTGAATTAGTCGGGAATTAGTTTGGGAATTAGAAATATCAGGGAAATTAGAAGGGAAATAGAATTAGAGGAATTAGTTACCATCCTGGGAATTAGTGTACCTACACATTTTTCTCAGTTTTACCCCTCGCTTTCTTATTACTTACAACAAGACATTAACAATAAACTGGCATACGAGAAATGGGGAAACAGTATTCAGTATTGTTTGATAAACCAGCATTATTACCCATTGAGATATACACTAAAAAAAGCCAATTTTCGTCCCTAATATAAGTGTGTCCTTATTCTTACAATATGTCTAAATAGTTGGCAATATTATTGCACATTCAATAAAGTTCTTTGATCAGCTCTAACATCATTTTACCTTTCTTCTTCAGCTTCGGCCTCCCGTTCCTGCTTCTTCCTGGCCCTGTCCCTTAATATGTGAGCTTTAAGCACCAACCACTTTTGCTGGTTTCTATCGGGAACTTCAGCGTTTTCCTCTTCATTTTCGTTGGTTTCCTCGTTGGTAGAAACATTTACATTGGTATTTGCAGTACCTTCTTCTACAGCTGCTGGCATTGCGAGTGAATTTTAGATAAATGAGCCACCCAAAACCACTTTGAACCGTTTTGTTTGTATTCTTTATTAAGTTGTATTGTTGCAAACTCAAAATAGTTACTTTATTATTATTGATAATTAAGATTAGGAGGAAAATTTAAAAAAACTATTCATTATTCATTATTTACATACAACTATACCATACACAAAAAAAAGTGGACAATAATGACATTCAAGTCATTTTGACATTTTATTATTCCACGCTGTTGCCAAGCTAAAATTTAAATAATAATCACGACTCCGACTCAAACTGTGAAAATTTCTAATAAAATTAGTTCCACTAGAAGCCCAAATTGATATTATAATTGTTTGAAATATCCACTTATTAAATTAATAATTAAAATTCCAAAATAAAAGTGACGTCTTAAAATGTACATCTGGCATCAGTGCAATTATTTGTATTGACACTGCCTCGTATTGATCAACAATAAACAGCTGTTTCTACCACAATAATATTTTGACATTCTGCTTTCTTTTTAGCAGATTCAATTATTCATTTTCACTTTAAATAAATACAAAAATTTCAGTGAAAGCCAATTCAGTCACGCTTCATAGACAGGTTAAGTTTCCTGATTGTCCAACAATCAGTCAAAATCAAACCATTATTAACGATTTACGCACAAAACAACAACCTTGAAATTTTCTCCTTTGTGTTGCACAATTTCGCATTTCCAGTTTACTTCCGACGAAAATAGCGTATCCCGACCCCATTATTTCGCTGGCTGTAGTCGCGAATGTACTAAAATTAATTGAGCCCCAAAATGAGCGGAGAAAGGAGTGAGCCTCAAGACACCGGAGGACCTGCAAGGATTCGCACTACTAGTGAGTGTTCTATGGCTAGTGATGACGGGGCAGCTTCTGGATTTACAGGACGAAGGTAATTAACTTACAATTTATTAAAATTATCCTAGAAGTTTCTGGTGTCAGGGGTTGGATATTTTTGGCCCACTTCAGTAATTTGAAATAAGGCCAAAGTTTATTTTTAAGTTTAGTCATGATGCAATAATTGAGAATTCAACTTTTAACAGAAACATTACTTATTTATTTTAAAAGAAATTTGGCCAATGTATTTTTACGAGTATGTTTACTAATAATTCCTGTAGATACTTTAATTAATTGTTTATTTGCAGAATATTCCCTACATATTTTCTAGCTGATGATAAACGGTATGAAATGTGTGTTTTTTAATTTGTTTTCTGCTTTTTTTTATTGGATAAATCCTCGGATAAATCTTGAAACAATAATTTGAACATAGTAGAGTGCCGAGTAGAGTGCCAAGGGATTTTTCACCTTGTTAATCAGTGAATCACTGGTTAATATATTTCAATACCAGGTAAATACTATGTCAATAGTGTCAATACTATTCAATACCTACTTGTTAATTATGTAGGTAATATATGTCAATACTTGTAGATATCTAGGCAATATATGTTAATGTCATTGGTTGATACCCATTGTAACCCATTAATAACATATAAATACCTGTGGATATGTCAATACCTAGAATTCTGGCAAGACAAATATTTGATTTTAGTCTGTTAATAGCATGACAATACCTGGTAATATGTGATAATACTAGGGAAATACATGGCAATATGTGGAAATATTTTAATACATGAAAATAGTTGGCAATAACTTGTTATTAGGTACATAGAAATATCTGTTAATACATGGAAATATCTCAGTTAGTACTGTTCATCGGTGTACAAATTTTGTTAGGTGAAAAACCCCTCGTAGAGTGCAATTTGTAATAAAATCGCTGTACATTTTTTGTAACAGTAAGTATTCTAGAAACCTTCAGTTGTATTTTAGAATAGTCATTTGTATTTAAGAAATCCCCTCGGAAATCCCCATATGAATAATAATGGAATAAATTTCTTAAATACAAATTACTATTCTAAAATACAATTGAAGGTTTCTAAAATACTGTTGGAAATGGTGTAGAAATGAATTCTGTGGGGGCAAAGTATCTAGGTTTGGCATGCACAAAAACGCATTTCAATCACCCACCATCAATGCTAACAAAAACCCAGTGGACTTTGGACTTTTTGTGTCAAAAACTCACCCATACTCAGTCATTCCTATCATAGTGCCAAATATCAATCCCAATATCTAAGACATTTTTCTTATCTATATTAAACAAAATAAAAATCCTTAGGAAAAATAGTCAACTTAAAGGTATTTAATCAATCAACAATTCTTAGATACAAAAGTAAAAATTAGAAGGAACTTTTCTCAAGATAATTACTAGTAATAACATAACTAAAAAAAGAATTAAGAATTTGTAATAACAAACTAGTAAATAAGTAATTGAGACCAAATTAAAATCTTAATTAATAGGTTTGTAGAGAATTTAATTGGCATTAATTAGAGCCTCATTGAGTTGAAATCGGATGAAAGTTAACGAAACTGTGAAGCAAAAACTTTCTGAATGTCATTTTTGGAAAATGTTTGATAATTTGAATTTTGAAGCTTTTCAGGTGTAAAACTGTTGAAACCCTCCAAATTAAAATCTTAATCGACAGGTTTCTAGAGAATTTAGTTGGCTTTAATTAGAGCTTAATTCGAGGCTTAACTACATTGAAATCGGATAAAAATTAATGCAGATGTGAAAAAACTGTCTCAGTGACACTCAGTGTAGAGTTGCAAAGTTACCGGTAAAATAAATTTCGGTAAAATTACCAGTAATTTTACATAATATTACTGGTAAAATTGAAAAATAATAACTTGTTGATTCTACAATGATGCAATAGGTATCGTTGATTTTAATTGTAGAATACCTTCTGATGGTGGTAAGATAATCTTTTTAAGAAATAAATTAAACATTCTTGTGCTTGTGTAAAATTAAAATTTGAAATATATCACAGTAGAACCCCGATTATCGGAGGTAACGTGGGGGGACCGTCCGCAGGTTACTAAAAACTCGGAATCCGGATTTACGCAAATCTTTATGCTAGAAAGTGAAAAATGTCCGAAAACACAAATAGGGGATTCACTCACACGGGCAAAGAGGATTCCTCGCCAACCCCGACGATTTTGAATGGAAATATGTATGTACCATCGTCATCAAAAGTATCTGGGACAAAAATGATTCATAATATTCTCCTCGACTAATTCTACCATCAATATTCATAGTTTGACACTAAAAATCATATAGTACAAGAGCTAATATAATGCTGTCCCAGCTTTTTACTTTTGGTGACGATGGTACATTATGTATATGTATTGCTCGATGTATTGTATTATGTATATCTTATAAGCTCGGTTAATACGGAGCATAGACGCGCTTGGGTCTTTAGATTGACTCTGTTAATCCAGAGCTCGGATAATCGGGGTTCTACTGTACTTATTATATTCTAATATTTTTTTAATAATTAACATCGATATTATTGTCTATTTTCTGATACAGAGATAGATAAGCGCGGAATTCGCGGAAATCAAAATGGCCATTGTCTGTGATTGTCAACATTCTTTACTCTCAACTTTACTGCTTTCTCTTTCTATTTTTCAAAATAAAGAGAGACAAATTTAAATCGTACATCCTTGGTTTCCCTAATAATTTTGAAGTCTTTACTGCTCGACACCCGTGTTTATAATTCTAGGACCAATAACGTAATTTTATCGACTTTACGTCTAATTTTACTGATTTTACCAATTTTACCGAGATATGGGTAATATCAAAGTTATTACGTAATTTTACATAAGTTACTGGTAATTTTACCGTCGGTAATTTTACCTTCGCAACTCTATCTTAGTGTCATTTTTGGAAAATGTTCTGTCATTTTTGAAAAATTTCTTAAGGTCTGAGGAAATCTCAACTTAAATTCGACCCTAAGGAAGCCTTAACGATAAGTACTCCTTGAAGTGACATTTCCCCTTGTAAAAACGGTTGATGCAAATGGCCATTAATGTATTAAGGACCGGTTTATCAGTGGATGGTTATCTAGTTTAGCTGTCGATTAACGAATGATAATTACTAGTTAACCAACAGGTAAACTTAATAACTGGCCACTGATAGATTGATCCTAGAGGTTTACGGCAACCAAATATCTTGGGGTTTTTATTGATAAACATCTCAAATGGGATCAACACATACTATATTTGTGCAAGAAAATAGGATGAAAATGATATACCTACAAAGCACTTGTTGCACTTTACTGAACTATGGCAGTTTGGTTTGGGGAAGGGGAGGCGCCCATGACTGGGCAAAATTACATTGTTGGAATTATTTTTAAAAAGCCGCGATTATATTGGACCAGCCTCTTCATATGGAGAAGATATACTAAATGTAAAGGGTCTCTATATAATCACTATCTGTAATTTTATGCATCTGAATGAAATAGGTATTTAATTATTTATCTCTCATGTATTGTTCGTCGATTTTTAACTGACACTTTCCGTATGAGGAGCGAGGGGTTGTTTCATATGGCAAAAACAGGTTTGACATCGGGCAACCATTGGTGTTCTAATGTAGGAAGCCACCAGCACATATTCCGTCCGAGTATCAGATTAAAATCGACGGACAATATGCACCGTGTCAATTTGAAAACTTTCAATGCGAATATCTCTGAAAGTAAAAAAGTTGGAAAAACGTAATTTGGTACAAATTTTATACAGGTAGGGGTAACTAGAACTACCATATTTTTTGGTTATAATGACCTCTTGGACCCCACGCACCCCAACACCAATATTTTAAATGACAATACCCCTTTTGTGATACCTAAAATTAAATATTTTTTGAAAAAATTCTTGTGCAGGTGAATACTATTCTCAAAAATATTTAATTTTAAGTATCACGAAAGGGGTGGTCCCAATCAAAATTTAGAAGTTGGAGTGCATGGGGCCCAAAGGGTCAGTCACCCCAACCCATAACCAAAATATGGTGGTTCTAGTTCTTCCTACCTGTATAACAAGCTGACTGATTTCTGCCCTATAAGTTTACTTTGAGATTCTGTCCAAAAATTTCGAAAAGATGGTTGCAGTTCAAATAAACAAGCATCTTCGGGCCAATGTTAAAAAAAAAATTGCACTTCTGCATAGTCTAATTTTGGATTAGGTACATTCGGTTTTCGAATCGCCAAAATATTAGCTTAAGAACCCCACAGAAAGCATAATTTCGATTGGCACTCTACTAACAGTCAAACCAGTAAAAACAGATTTATTATTAAGTAAAATTGCAATCAGATTGATCTAATAGAAGTGTTTGTTGCTTTATCATTAAACATTTCCATGTTGTTTGTAAACCATATTTCATCCTGGACAAATAATACTCTCTTTCAAGACAAAGAACAACCTCGCAAACATTTATGGTAGCTAGTGGCCTTACGGCAGCGTCTCCCCCAAAATTCGTCTCCCTCGAGGAAATAATGCACGCTGCGAACGGCATGAGAGACATGAATTTGGTGCACCAAATCGTCGTAGACGAAAATTTTCGCTTGGAAAAGGCCGAGCCTGAAGCGAACACCGTCCAAAAAGTAATTAAGGACACCATGCACAAAGCCTTTTGGGATGTTTTACGAGAAGAGCTGGCCGAAGACCCGCCTTGCTACAATCAGGTAAATAATATATTGACCTCATGGTGAACAAAGAATCAAAGACGGTCTACCTTGAAGATCTATATAAGGCAAAGTTTAGTAATTTCTGTTTATGTTTTATTGCCGGAACACGTTAATAAAGGAAGTTGTGTATTTTTTAGGCCTTTGTCCTGCTAGAAGAAATCAAACAAGGCCTGTTTGACCTTCTGCTTCCTCAGCATACGAAAATAAAGCAGCAAATTTCTGAAGTTTTGGACATACCTTTGATTAAGCAACAAGCTGAAAAAGGCATTCTAGATTTTAATGTAAGAAGATTTTTAATTATGAATACCAATTTAAAATAGCAAATAATTTAATTTTATACTGGATCATAAAATATACATATTATATACCTTGATATTAGTCTGAAAATAAGTTAACAGAAAATGAAAAGTGTTTTAAGTGTCAATATTGAATCTTGGCTAAAATTTTGAATTGACCTAACTTCCTGAGAAACTTCCTAATCTAAATCTAGGCAACAGTAAAGAAACACTTTTTTCCTTGGTATGTAATATGCTATTATGAGGCCGAATATAAGTTGAAGATATCTCAAAAAAAAGGTGTATTTTTTAATAAACCAGTATGAAATAAACATTATGAAGTTGTGGTAGAGAAATTCTGGACTTGGCCATTGCCTTGCCCATAAACACTTTCTGCACTTTTAAAATAAATAACTATTTTAGTATTACGCAAATTACATAATATCATTTATGGCTAAAATGTGTGCCCAAGTCCGAGATGAAAAAATACAACAATTGAGAGAAACCACTGATATCATTGAAGTTTACAAAGATATTTTGGAGACAATCGAACTGATGTTGTTGGACATGGCCAATTTTACTTTGCAAATGATAAAGCCCGATATTATCAATCACAGCGTCGAATTGGAAAGAGAAAAGTTTTCCAAATACCTTGCGGTACAACCAGATGGTCTTCAGCACACAAGAAACTGGCTCCTGAGGCACATTGACACGACAAAACCAGTCCCGAATGATGTGGAATATGAAAAATTCATTAGGGATTGTTCTAAAAAAGCTTTTACTTCTGCTTGCATTGAATTATTAGATTGGGATAGGAATTTGCCTTATCCAGAAACCTTTGTCCTAGATGAAGACAGACTTTATGATCTTCAAATTAGGACTTTTCAATTGTACGCAGTTGCTACAGTTTTACTTGTAACTCTAAGCAACGCTGGTGCTGATTTGCAAAGTATAAGTGCTTTTAAACAGTCTTTGAAGGCCCATATTACTATTCTTTTGCAGAATGTTAAAAATGAAAAAGATTTGAAAGGTGTTTTACCAAATGTCGCTGAACAGGTAATAATTAGTTTATTTATATAGAAAGTGTATTTTTTAATTTTTTTTCTAAGGTTTTAAGTGACTTAAAGGAAGCCCAACAAAAATACGACTTGTCTGGCACGAGTCCTGAAAATGAAGCGGCCCTAAAAGCACTCATTATTGATATTGCAAAAGAGGATCATAAAATAAGAGGAATAGTCAGTAAGTTTAAAGTTTTCACTTTAATGCCAGGTATTGAGTGATCTTTCTTTTCCAGAACAAAGAGTCAAAGACTTTTATCTGGACATCATAGAGTCGGCCACTGCTGCCCCGCAAAAAGTACCCACAGGACTGACAGCCTTCCAAAAAGAACTGACAGGAATTGCCGGTCAATTTCTTAGAATAGTTTCGCACAATAGCACAGTATTTTGCATTTATTATTTTGATATTATTGCAGCGGCGCTTCCCAAGCCCTCTTCTACTTAAGCAAACTAATTGTGACTAATAATTTTAATGTAACAAAAATAAAATTATACTTTTTATACAGTGATAATTACTTAATTTATGGTGGTAATTGATATTGTGAGTTAACATAGGCATAGTGATAATAATATATTAAATTTAATAAATTGATTTATGTTTGTTTTATTAGCATGACAAATTGTGTAATTTGTAATTTACTTTACTAAGGTAGGACATTTTCATGCTTGCAAAGAACATTATCTGTTTAAAATAGTAATTTATTCAGATTTGTAACAAAAAATGTTTGGAAAAAAAAAACATCTAAAATGTTTAAACAAATTCTAAGCTAGATTTATCAGTAAACAACCATGTGGCTGCCACTCATCTACCTATTTATGATTGCAAAAATTATTTCTGCATCAGTAAATGAGCCTAAAGACCTTTTGCATATATTTATTGAAAACTTAAAACAAGATCCATTACTTCTTGGTAAGCGTAACAACGTGGGGCTATATATGAATTATTAAAAATTAATTTCAGATGATTATGATGGTGTGTCTCAAAAATCAAAACGATTTATTGAACATAAAGTGGAAAAATTTGTGGATTTGTTATCACAAAGCCCGCAATCTGAAAGAAGAAAGAGGAGTTTGGATGAAAAAAATGCCAACAATTTCATAAGTAAGTTTTTTTTTTTAAATAAAATATAAAATTTTATGTATGTATAATAAAACACTTTACATTAAGTATGTGGCATGTATATCGACAATATTGCACGGTTTTTTATTTAAAAACTAAGAAAATTGAGTGTGTATAATTAATTATCCACCTTTACCTTCCATGCCAAAGATATCTTTAAAAATATAACCAAGTTCGTGTTGTTCGAGATATTTGTTAAACTCCCCCATGTCCATGTGGTTGAATTTGGGACCGTGATTATCGAAAACTATTTCAACAAAGTTTTTGAATTTCAAAAAGTTTGCTGATTTTGTGTCTTCTTTATTCGACTCGGTTATCTATTATTAATAATTTGTAATTTACAATATTAGATTTTGTTATTATTTGTTACCTTGCAGAATATCTTTTTCCAATTCATACTCTTGACACCCTGCCAAAATGTTGCAACGTCGCACGAGTCGCCTTCGACGCAAATAATTCCTGGTTTTCCTGGCATCACAAAACCTGACACATTTAATTCGTTTGCTGAATCTATAAGCGCCCTCCTCTTTGTTTTACTAAATTGGTTAATCAATAGTTTGTATTTATCAGAACAATATATAACTTACCTGTAAATATGATGAGAGTATATCCAATATCTTACTAATTCTTCATTCTTTTTTTGACATTGTGTTGGAATTATTTTGGATTCTATATAGTCTGTGGCGTTGTCTTGTAACCAGGAGATCAATGTGAAAATGCAAGGTTCGCCTTTGGGAAGGTCTCTTAAAAATTCTCCTGTAAAGAATACATATTTTTACCAAATGAAGAGTAATAGTATTATTTCAGTAGTTTGAGGATTACCATATTACCCAAATCTTTGGTTTTCCACTGATTTCCCTAATTGTAGAACATTAAGATTCCTCAGTTAACATGGTCAGACTATAGTTTAATTATTTTATAGTGTGTCTTTGCCCTAATCCATTTATTATGTTAACTAATGTCAGAATATTTAGGGATAAGAAATAGCGGTTCTTCTTTCAAAGCAGGAAATACTCCAAAGATTAATATGTAAGCAAACATAATTAAAAAAAAAAAAAAAAATAACATAAAAGTATGATGATTTTGCAAATTCCATTGTTTATAAAAATCATCTAAAGCTCTAAAAATGAGATTTGCAAAATGATAAGGTAAATGCTGCTTAATTGTTACTTCAATCATTGTCAAAGACAGGCATTACGTACTTTTGAGGGGTGCTTTTCTGTGTAAGAATTACCTACATAGTACTTTTGGCCTTTTTGAGTGGTAAGTACTCTAGTAAACTTAAATAACCTAATAGGATGGAATCAACAATAATTCAGGCTCCAAAAATATCTTAAATTTGCAAAAAATGGATTACAGATCTTTCTATCTATATTTGAAAAGAGTTATTTTTTCTAAGAACCTCAGTACTAAAATGATGAAATTTAAAAAAATTTATATTGTGATTTTGTGTTTGGATGGTCATTTGGGATCCCCCAAACTTCATACACTAAATTACTCCGGGATTGAAAAAAGGACATCAGGAAAATTCAAAAATCGAAGAATTCACACCAAATTGCTTAACGCGATTTTATTTCAGGAACTAAGTCCAAATGAGCTAAAATTTTGCAGGGTTGGTAGTCCTCTACTAGGATAAGAACTCTGAAAATTTCAGCAGAAACTCCATACGGTTATTTACTGTCGGATTTGGAGCCGAAATATATGAAAAAAGGACCTCAAAAAAATTCACCCCAAACTTCTTAACGCGTTTATTTCTCAGTCCAAATGAGTTGAAATTTTACAGGGGTTGTAGTCCTTCACTGGGATAGAAATCGCTGGAAATTTCAGCTTTCTACATTGAGGCTTTCTATTTACAATAGAAAAAAAGTTATGATTATTCAAATTTTTCAAAAATCCATGTCCATGGGGGTTCTCCTTCAATTCAATTTTTTTTGTGTGAAGATTTCGACTTAAGATGCAGATTGTCTATAAAAAATGTAATTTTGACAGTGACACCTAAATTTGTACCTAGGCCAAGTAGTTTAATTTCTTTCAGAAGCAGAATACAAGAGTTTATGGGAAATTAAATAAAAAGTCAAATAAAAAGTTGAAGAAAACAAAAAACAAGTGAGCAGGAAGAAATTAGAAAAAAAAATATGGCTGCAGCAAAGAACAATTAATTACATGAGTTACTAAATGGTAATAATTATGGAGCCTAAAAAATTAGAGTGCAAGTGTTACTTACTAGAGGAAAAAGGAGAAGCAAGGTGGATTGATTATGAATTTATTGATAGAAGATACAAAGATGATAGAGAAAAAGAAAAAGATAAGGAACAGGACAAGCAATGCCAATCTATAGTAGTCCAGTGTTTGGATGATGCTCAACTGGATATAATTCCATGTAGACATAATGCATGCCAGATGTGGACAGCTTTGAAAGATTGATATGAGAAGAAAAAGCTTCCAGAACAGTTTTTAAAACGAAAGTTATTATCGCTGAAATTGAAAGTGGGTGAGTCACTTGAAAAACATAACATACAATTTGTGGATAATGTGAGGCAATTGATCGCATCAGGTTGTGAAGTAAAGGATGAAGACAGAGTATGTAATTTGTAAAGAATAGGCTTTTTGCAGAATGTGAAAAGAGTAGGAGGATGTTATTTCATAGGAATGTGAATAGCAGTGGATTGACAACAGCCAAACAGCCTTTGTGACATAAAAATATATTGGCAAAAAATGTTATGGATGTGGCTCAACCAATCGCATGTGGCGATTTTGTCCACAAAATCATTGGCAAAACAGTAATTACACTGGATAAGGCAGTATGTACTTATAATGCACCAAGAAGCAATGATTACAGGATGTTTCAATGCAAGAGGAAACTTTAATACAAAAAGCTCTGCAAGAGGTTTCAGTTCAAGAGGGGGTTACAGCAGCAGGACGAAAGAAGATGGATTTCAAAATAGTGGAAGTAACATGGCAGAAGATGAGAGTTTACACCAAGGTTTACAGACAGATGAGGTGAACAGGAACATAACAGGAAAGGAAAGTTTTTTTTGTTATGTTGAAAGATCCAATTTCAGGACAATGTTTTTTTATCGGCCATGGGAGTTGGAAACATCAAACTAGTAAGTAATGCAGGGCATAAGAAAGTTGATTGAACAGCTAAAAACATTTTGTATGTACCTAAATTGAGAAGAAATTTATCAAGTGTTAAGAAACTAGAGATGTCAGATATGAAAGTAATATTTGAAAATTCCACACTAAAGATAGTAAAGATGGGCAAGTAGTAAGATTAAGCAAACAAGGGAATTTGTATGAAATTGAGTTTTCTTTAGTAAAAGTTGAATGCTTGAATGTTGAAAGTATCGAAAATGATTATGTAAAATGGCACAAGAGATATGGGCATATAGGATTTTCAGAGAATGGTTGAAGTGTTAGAGGCTATTAAAGTACAGGTTGTAGAGTTTTCTGAGCCAAGTGTGAGTGGAAAACTGACAAGATTTCCTTTTAGAGAAAGAACCAAAAGTAAACGTGGATCTATCTCACCATCAAATTATGATCTTAGTAGATATGTACTTTGTTACATTCATTGATGATTATTCAAACTTTTGTGTACTTAGTTTACCTATTTAATAAAAGAGAAAAAAGCGGTATTTGAAAATTTTGAAGAGTTTGCAAGTATGGCTGAAGCAAAATTAAATAAGAAAAATAGCAACTTTAAAATGTGACAATGGCGGAGAATATGTTTCGAATGAGTTCGAAAACTACTGTGCCAGAAACGGTTTTAGATTACACTGTAGCATACATATACTCGGTATACTATACTGAACAGAATGGCAAGGCAAAGACAAAGAATAGAAGCTTAGTAGAAAGGCTTAGAGCAATAATGGTGGAATCTGGAGTACCAAAGGAGTACTGGAGAGAAGAGATTTTGACAATTAACTACTCCGGACATCTTCCGGATTAGACAAAACTCCATCAGAGATCTGGTATTGTAATAAACCAACTGTGAGCAGTTTTACAGTTTTTGGCTGCACATGCTACAGTCATGTACAGGGTGGCCCAAATTCGAGCCTCATCATTGGGATCTCGGTAACCGTAAGAGCTACGGGGTCGGTTAAATTATGGCAAAGTTGCGCAATTTTATGACCAATAGAATGCCGTTTTGAAATTAGAAAGATTCCGAATACTTTCGGAGATACAGTAGTGTCGCGATAATCCGGATCAATTAAAACCAGACCAATCCGGATTATCAAATTATTCGGATTACTAAGGCATATTACAGTCCGCTTTCTCTTAATGTCGCTGATGGTTGAAGCCCCAACTCCATACTTAAAGCTAAATATTTGCCACTAAATCCGCGTTTCAGCTCGCCTATAATCGCTGACTTTTCGTTGAGACTTGAAGTTTTGTGTTTGCGTTTAATAGGATCAAAAAGGAAGGACGCTGCGTATTAAGCCCGGTCCAGACTATGTAACAAAACATGCTATATAACAAAGTTGTATAACTTGTTAGAGAATTTTAAATAAAAAAGTTTACAACACAGTGTTGTACAACATTTTGCTTGTTATATAACATGTTTTATGTTATCCATCGGTTGTCGGTAAAGATCAAAGGAAGTTATAAAGTAGTATTCAGAAAAAACCGAAATTTTGTAAAATCGTTTTTATATTTTCCCGGGCTTATTTGAAGAGCAATTTTAAAATAAAGGTCACTTCATCATTGTCACTTTTTCCCCTTTAGAAGATGGTGCTACTAAATCTAAAATTCGACGTTTCGTCTTCAGGCGGCCATCTTCAACTTACTTTTTTTAGGTACAGACCTGGATTTTTTATTTGCGATTTTGTCATATTTGGGCATCCTAAAACCGATACTGTTTAGAATTTTTCAATAACACAGTAAAAAAAGCAGGTCCGTATTTAAAAATAATAATTTGATGATGATTCCAGAGGAACGAAACGTTGGATCTTAAATTTAATACGGCCATCTTATAGAGAAGAAAAAGTGACAATGAGAATGTGGAATTAGTTTTTCAAAATCTCTTTTAATGAAATCAGAAAAAAAAATTGGAAAATACGAGAAATTCATGTTTTTTTCGTATAGTTTTGATTTTTTCCTGATTTAATTCAAAAATATTTTGAAAAACTAAATTCACATTCCCATTGTCACTTTTTCTTCTCTACAATATGGCGGTATTAAATTTAAAATCCAACTTTTCGTTCCTCTGAAATCATAATCAAATTATTTTTTTTAAATACGGACCTGCTTTTTTTAAAGTGTTATTGAGAAATTATAAACATTATTGGTTTTAGGATGCCCAAATATTAACCGGTGTGAAGTTGGTGGCAAAAGATAGTAGCCAAATTTTCCGGAGATACCCGAACGCCCAGTGGCGTCGGGTCATATTTTAATCGACAGAAATTGTATTTTACCTCACTAGACTTAGTTTTCTAAAATTCTACTACAGTTACATATCAGCAAAAAAAACCCATATTCTTGGGGAAATTATATCAAGGGGTATATATACGAGACGGTATTTTTTTAAATGTTATTTTGTTTTTTAAAATATCTCAAAATTTGCTCGTTTCAAAAGATTCATATTTGAACGACGGTTAACTTAGGTGCTGATTCAATTTTGAAAAAATATTTCATCCCCAGCAATCCGGGACAAGGGGTTCAACTGGAGGTTGGAAACATATTTTTTGAATTATTTTTAAATTTTTCGAAATCTGCTCGTTTCTACAGATTTATATTTGAACCACAGTTAACTTAGG